TCTGTCGCATAGCAACCATTACAGTTGACACACAAAGCAGGCAAAGAATGGATACCCATCTTTTCATTAGTGTTCTGGTACTAATAATATTTTTGAGAAGCTTCAGCAGCAGTATCGTCGTCACGAATATCAGATTTATAGTCCCCACACTGCAGAGATATTAGAATCTGTGCTTCAGTTTGAGCCAAACCCATTTGCACTGATAAAAAGCTTTCCATAAACCAAACATTATCTGCCATCTATCTGACCATATTATAACCATTTAAAATATTTTCATTAATTTCAGGAGAAGCTTTTCACATACTTGTATTATATTAAACTGTACTTCCAATATACACCACTGTTCGGCACCATTTACCTTTTTCCACTGAGCACAGAACAGCTAACTTGCTTGGACTCGCAATGAATCAAGGGATACCCAAGGCATAGGATACACAAGACCCATCCTTACATCTGGGCAAAAGGATGGTTGCAATTGTTGGCCACATAATGAGGAGTCTTGCAAGCCGAGCAGGCCTCGGCGCCTCGGCTATGACATAATCGGCTGACGAATTTAGCCTTCGGAGGATGCAGGCCCTGAATCTCAACTCAACACATATAAAAGGGGCATTCCATAATTTTTGTGTTTTTATACTAAATACTTTTCAATCTGATTGTGAAGTCTTGTACATGTAAACATACCTAGAGTGTCTAAAATAAAATAACTGAGAAAAAAAAATTTGCACTGTTGTTTAGTAGATTTTGCTCGTCAGTAATTGCTTCATTGAAGGTGGTGCCACTAAAAGTAATACAGTTATTATGTTTCAGGGTGCACATATTTTTTTACAAGAAGATGTGAGCGCAATGATCTGAAATAATTTAAATAAGAAAGGGGAAACAAATCTTTCTGCCGCAGTGCACTTCAGCTCAGATAGATTTTCATTAATTCCATTCATCGAACCTGTAAGTGCATATGTCTATAAAGGGGGGTATAGTATGTACGCCTGCATCCAATTCTATGTGTTAGGTTTTTGATTTGAAGTAACCAGCCATGTCCTTTTTAAGTTTTCTTTCATTGTGAATTATTTGAAAATTTGCTGGTGAAGATTGTCAGTCATCCAGGGCATGGTCGTTTCAAAAAAGTTTTTAAAAAATCCATTGGACTTGGTTTCCAAGTTTGAAGACTTTTCACTTTCAGCCCAGGAAGCTTTTTCAATTCAAAATGTCAGAATTCATGCCTTACATAGTAGCCCAAAAACTTATTTTGCATGCAATTTGAACCAGAATAACGGGTCCGCCCCTTAGAAAGGGAGTCATTTTGGGTTCTTTGTACCCAATACTGGGCTATGTCTCTGAAAGGCGGGTCGTTAGAAGCAATTGTTGGCCTCGCTGCCCAGGTGAGATTTTTTTTTTTGTCCTGCATGGGGGCCAGACAGAATCAACTCTATCGCTGCAGGCTAACAAAGAACCCAAAATGACTCCCCATTCCTAAAGAGTTCTTCTGTTTCAATTTGCATGTTTTTTAAGCCAAAACAAGTTTTTGGGCTACTATATAAAGCTTCGAACGCAACACTAATTCCGGCATTTTGAATTAAAAAAGAACCCTGGATGGAAAGCAAAACATCTTCAAAATTGGAAACCAAGTCCAGTGAATTGGGTTGTTGTTTTTTTTTTTTGAAAAAATATTTAAAAAATTTCAAAATAATTTTAAGTCTATGAAGCAAAAAACACAATTTCACTTGTATTAACCAGACTACTTTGTGTTATTTGCTTTTAGTTTTTGTTGAAAGCTAAGAGCAGTTAAAAAAGCTACATCACTTGTGAGTCAGGATTATGTCTAATCTGGTCTACATTTTCTTTTGAATTCAAATTCATCCTCCAACCAGCACATTAATGCTCTTCTTTATAGAGAAAAGTTCCTGATTAAAAATTGTGTACTGAATATTATTAAGAACATTAGCTTGTTCTGCTGTGGGGTGAAGAATAGCATAAAACCGGCAGTTAATCCTGGTGCTACCTTCCTAATTCCACTTTCTGGATCCTGCACATTAAACTGTTCTGAAATATCCTCCTCCAATTTTACAGTATGTTACACCTTAAACAAAAAAATAAACATATTCTGCAGTGAAAACCAAGCAAATTCATGGACAAATATTTATACTACTTCCATACATCTGTTCCCATCTACAATGACCTTTTCCAGTCATTTTCCATTACCTGCACACAACATTATTCCAAAATGACACAAGCAGCAATAACTGTATTGCTGCTTGCAAAGCATGGAGTGCTCTGAATATGTACATCTTTTTGTCCCTCTATCACTAATTCCATTATGATTGAAAAACTGGCCCAGCCATATGCTGTTTTAAACAATATACAAATAAAGAGTCAGATTTCCCATGCAAACAAACTTAATAGAATAAACAGAGGCAAACTATAGGTTTGTGAATTCTGGAAGACCAGTTCTGATGGATAAGGCTGGAAATGGGTCTGTCTTTAACCAGGACAGCTGAAAAAAACACATATATGGACATGTACATTTTCTCAATCTGAGTGTAATTATAAATAAAAACAGGCAACATTTTCAGTGTCTAGATATGTATGATGGCTACAGCAAGAAGAAACATTGAAAAAAAAAAACAATTAAAGTGCAGCAATACTTTTTTTTTTTTTCTTTACCAAACTGTTCATCTTCTGGACTAAAATATAAGTTAGTTTATGCACTTTTTGCAGGTTTTGCATATTCTTGAAAAGCCAAAGCAACAGTATAGATTGATGTTGAAGTATAGTTACTGACGCATGATGTCCAGTTTAGTGGACAGGAGATCAATTAGAATTTATTCTCAATATAAACGTCTTGTTTAAAAATATATATTTTTATCAGCAAGGTTTTTATTCTCTTAAAGGATTAACAAGACATACTTGAGGTGCCTTAAAATGTTTTCCTTTCTGGCGACCATCTGGGATTTGAGAAAGAATTGCCACACTTGTAGTGGATAGCCAGTAGCTAGCAGTGTGTTGCATTATGAACAAATATCTACTGGTAAAAATATTAATATTAATATTACTGGTAAATGTTAACCTCCAGGACTGAGATAGATTAACCCACATTAGTGTGTTAAGCAGTTAATCACATGTTACAAAACATATTATTAGATGTAGTTGACATGTTTTCTTTATTATTATTATTTGCAAACTCAAAACTGAATGGGCCACACACTGACCACAAAAATATGATCTAAGCAGTTTTATCTATGTTTTTAAGAGGTGGTGTTCCTGGAGATCTGTCTTCCAACAAAACCAACCCAGCAGTTTCAATGATTCAGACCTTTTGGGAAAAGTCTAAAAATAGTATTGTCTATTTAATATTTACTTAAGCCGTACAACCTATTTAAAGGACAACACATTCCTGTTTTGACCTATCTGCTGTGCACTGAGTAAGACTTTCACCTATCACCAGTGGATAAGTGGCTCACATTGGAGACTTGTCACTTTCAGATTTGCATAATTATTTAAAGAGTCAACAGAGAATCATAAAAGGGGAGATGCAAATTCTTACAGCTAAATTTGCTGAGTCAGTGCTTATTACTTTTTGATGCCTTTCTAAGCTTTCAACTCTGAACATATAGCAACCGCTGAGTGAGAGGAGGAAATGTTGGTATATAAAATTCCCAGAATGCATTAATTTCCCTTTAATCTTTTGGCATTTTGACAACCAATAATTAAAACACATTTAATTGGTATTTCATATGATGGACAAACAAAAAGTAAGACAAAACTTGAAGAGGATGGAAAAGAGGCTGGATTTCTAAAACTTTTACAAATACTTTTACCAAGACTAAAAAACATGTACCTTGTATTCATAGTCAACCCCATGATATTTTATAGATCCACCCACAGCTTCAATTACCACTGCAAATATTCCGGATATGTCCACCCCTCTGCGTCTAGATATGTGTTATTTTGCAAAAAACAGAGACAGATTCCTTTCCAAATTCTTTTTTCAACATTGGATGTAGTTTCTTTTATCTTTTTTAATAGGATGGAGACCATTGGTCTAAACCAGTGGTTCCCAGAGTGTGGGGCGCGCCCCCTAGGGGGGGCGCAATGCCATTGCAGGGGGGGCGCGGGAAGCGGTATGGATGAATGAAGAAAAAAAAAACAACAAAAAAAAAAAACAGCGCTTGCTTGACTGAGCATAATGGACAGTTGTGGCACTGCAACCCAGATTTGAGAAGATCTACAGCAAAAAGCAGGCTTACTACAGCCACTGAAAAGATGGGAGGATTAAAGTACAAAGTAAAAACTCTCAGGGAGCTGTTCAATGTTTTCACTCCATTTTGCACAGAGGCTTTTTTAATGTATAGATTATAGCAAAGTTAAATATTGTTACAAATAAAAAAAAAGAAATATGTTTAAAATAACACAGACAACAAAGAATCCTCTTCTAATCTACATTATAGAACTATGAAAAAAATACAGTTACACAAAAGTGTTCCACTGTAAAGATGGTGTAGTTTGTTTTGTTGCAACCTGAAGTGTGAAATAAACTTCAGTGGAGTTTGAAAACAAAATATGTGTATATATTTATTATATCAGGTTGAACGATGTGTGTGCCCAGTTTATTTTATTTTTATTTATTTTTTTTTTGGGGGGGGGGGTTGTTTAGGGGGGAGGGGGGTGGGGGTGCGTGATGGGGGGGCGCGGAAATGTTATTGTAATCCAAAGGGGGGCCCAGAAGAAAATCTTTGGGAACCACTGGTCTAAACTATTCAAATGTTTGTATTTGTTTTCCTACAGGAAGTTAACCCTCTGGCCCAATCCTAAATTCTTTGCAGGCTTTTTTTTCCATAATAAACCCACATTTCACTCCACACAACAAGAACTGGGAATTGTATTTCTATTCTATTTTGCTAGGGGAAAAAATCTTTTTAAGAATCTGCCTCACTTCTAAAGGCTGCCTGTTATTGTGCTAACTTTAGGCCTTGGAGCTGATTTCTCATAAGTTATCACTCAAGATATCCGAAGGAATTAAAACATTTATTAATGTTAATCTTGTGCTGCGGAGCGCTGTTTTCTGGAGTCTTTAGCCTGTGGGGCAGGTGAACCTCCGTGGACTGGAGAATTTGGAAAATGATGATGGAGTTATCTGCAATCACACATGACAGGGTCTGTTATCTAGTCGGCATTGCCTGCCTCTATGATGCCTGTCAAATTTATTATAATCAGACATGGATAAACAATGTTCAGCTCAACTAAATGCTTATGGGTTTAAAGCAATGAGACATTAATGAAAAACTCCTGGTTCAGAGAGAGTGATCAACCCCACTTTGTGATTGATGCTTAAGCAACACAGTCCTCATATACCTCAGTGTCAGTGTAGCAGACAGAAAGAAACATCTAACTGCACTTAGCCTATTTCAGGGGTAGGTCAAAAGAGAATTTGAGCATTAAATATGGATTATTAATGTTGTAGAAAGTTATATTAAATATGCAACATTTAACAGCTCATTGTGTGAATATAAAAAAAACACTATTCAGAAGCAGTAAATATATTTTAGTGGGAATAAAAAGAACAAGGTATAACTCAACATTCCTGTTTAGAAATCAGGTGTATTTTGAAAAATTAAAAAAAAAAGTGACCAAACACTTTATTATTAATATATGACATGCAAATACTTGTGAGTTTAGCAGTCTCTTCTGAATGGGCCATTGATGGAGCTAGTAGTGCCTTAACTCTCTTTTCTTTTTCTTGAAATTGACCCCTGGACCAGCTCTGCGGTCATTTTTTTTCCCTTATGGATTTCCTCAACCCCCAACTGCTCACAGCAGATGGCCAATCATATTGACCCAGGTTGTGTTTGAGGTCTTTACCTACTAAAGAGGGGTCATTTTAAGTGAGAACTTGCTGGCTCAGGAGGAGTGATTGCTGCAAAGTCAATGACTCACTGCATCTAACCCGGCGTCCTTAAACACATCAACTCCTGAAAACTTATGTATCAAAATCAAAACTACACTGTTTAATTAACTTAGGAATAATTATCAATAAATAGTTTCAATAATATCAATAACCTCTCATGCTGTCAAGGCTCAGAACAGGGGACCCAGTATTCAATGCAGACAGACAGTTGGATAATTCAAAAAGGTTTATTTAAAAATGGCGGATCTGCAATAACAGCAAGGACATCTAAGGCAGGATTAGACAGGTTAGTTAACCTGTCATGGTCATCCTCTGACAGAGGATGATTATGAACGTGTGAGTCACTAACCTGGTTTAATAGTTTAGTCTGTGACCAGAGAATAAGCTAGGACCCAGCCGGTGGGCTGCCAACAAGATGCATTGGGCGCAACCCAGTGTCCTTAAGCCAAAGCCCCGCAGGACAGAGAACAAGCAGGAGACCAGATCCGCACAGACAAAGGAGGGCAGGGAAATCCAGAGGGCGAAGCCAAAGCCTGTGTCGAGGACTTGCTCAGGGTTCAGAACTAGAAGATCAGAGGTCCAAAGAAGTTCCAAAGGGAAATCCAGGTTGGTGACAGGAAGCAGTTCCAAAGACAGGTCAGGGAAACAGAGCCAACGGGAACAGGCAGGCTCAGTATTTGAGAGGCAAAAGATGGGCCAGGATCAGACAATTAGAAACACTAAGGTAAGGCTAGAAAACTCTCACCATTGGCTCAAGAATAATTTTACCTGATGACTGATTAGAGGGCTGAATGGCAACGAGAAACCGGGCGGAGCTATAGGCTAGTGAATGGAATCGAGCCACGCATCAGTGCCAAGATCAAGGCACTGATGTAAGAGTCACTTACCTGGTTTAACAGTTTAGTCCATCCTCTCAGTCATAGGCAGGATAAGCCGATACAATCCCAACGAGATGCGGCTCTGAGCTGTCCAGAGCGTCCCCGCTCTGGTCTGCTAAATTCATGTCCTGGACTCTAATCCAGGACAAGAATTTAGATCAGACTGGAGTAGTTCTGGAATCCAGGAGTCCGCAGTCAGCCGGTCAGGGGTTCCGATCCACACAGGAACGGAAACATCCAATTTCCAGGAATCCATCAGAGTATGAAGGTAGGTTCAGACTCCCATGCTTCGAGTGACCATCTCAGACAGAAACGCACCTGGGAGGACAGGTTCAGAATCCCGTGCGTTGAGCAACTGATTCCAACCGGAGTCCAACCGATTTTTAGGCGAACAATTCAGACAGGGACAGACGGGGCAAGTGGGTGAGAGGGAATGGAATGAGGAAATAAGAATCACTCGGTAAATGTTGAAACGCTCTCACCACTGGTTAGGAAATAAACTAGCCTGAAGACATGGGCTCAATAATAATCTCCTACTGGAAACAGGGACATGAACCTTGGAAATAACTAAAACTAAAAAAAAACAATAGGCAGGATATAGAAAAATCAAACAAACAGCAAATAATGATCTGGCCTCGATAGATGGGCTGGACCGAATATAAAACAGAGCCTCCAGGTGGATCAGATGAGAGATGATTAGGAGCCGGTTAGAACTAGGCAGGTGAGTGAAATCAACAATTAAGGCCAGCTATCAGGGCAGATCATGACACACGGATTTTTGTTTTGACATATTTTTCAAACTATCACTATGTTCTGAGAGAAGATCACAAGGCAGCTAATATTTGAAAGAAATGATGCTCCTCTAGGAGGGAGAAGCTATGAAAGAAGGGCTGTAGGACAGCAGAGAGTAAGGGTGAGAGGCCTGAAAGGTGTGCTTTTTCACATTTTTGGGCTAAGTCCACTGAACTCCTTTCTAAAGCTTAACCCTTTAATTACCGGGAAACATTAATAGAAATTAGACAATGTTCTTTTATTCACCTAAATGGTAAATGCCCTGTACTTATATAGCATTTTTTTTAAGCCAGGAGACTAAATCAAAGCTCTTTACACTACATTCAGCCATTCACCCATTCACACATACACTGATGGTCAAAAGCTAAACTGTAGCCATAGCTGCCCTGAGGCTCACTAACAGAACCCAAGCTGTGATACACTGGCACCAACAGGCTCTGACCACTATCATTAGGAAATGTGGACTATGTGTCTTGCCCAAGGACACAATGACATTGAACCAACAACCCTCCTGTTGAAGGGCAAACTCATTTATCTGATGCTACTGCCGCGCCATTAACATCTTGTTCAAGTACTGTATGCAATTAGATAAGAAACAAGCCTCTCCCAGAAAATTCCTGATCATCTCCACCAACTACTGCCATCACCATCTGCTTGATGGATGGCACTTTGTCAGCAGTTTGTTGTCCAATGATTTTCAAATAAATCCTTCAGTCCTTCTGCAATTAAGACTACAGGTACATAAAACAAAAATGATCAAATATAATCTGATCAGACAAGGCTCCACCTTTTTTAGGAAGTATATTGGTATCTGTATGTATGTTGTTAAATTGTAATTTGAATGTGATTCCTGGAAAATAAATAGATGAATGAATAAATCTACACAACCATCCAGCCATCCTTATTTCTGTTGAATATGAATCTAATTTAAAACTTTTAGCACTCATAAAAGAAGCACTATAAAACAAATCGCTGTGCTTAGGTCAGTGCAGTCAGTGATTGATTTTTGTTCCCTATAAGGAGCCAAGCTAATTATTAAGGCAATCGGTTGTTTGAAGAAGGTTCCTAAAAGCATTGGGCATTGCCAAAAATGTAGGTATTTTAGATGAGAGCGTGAGAGCTCATCAGGAAAACCAGGTTCAAATATCTGCAGTGTTTTTAAATTTCAATATTGCTGTTGTAGACAAATAAACATCAGAAGAAGCAGGGTTTACTTAACTTTCTAGGTTTGTCCAACTAAGCTTTGTCCAGTTAATAAACTACTGAAGAGGCGTTGCCAGCAATGACGCAGATATCTTGTAAATACATTAATAGTGAGGAATGCAAACAAATGTTTAGCCAAATATAATAAGAGATAAGGAAAATCCACCCCATACACTCTGTATACCGTATGTATTTAAATCACAAATACTGGCCCAATAAGTAAACACCTTTGCTTGTTCCACATCAGTTTCTTGTGGTAAAAGTGCACAGAGGAATTTTATAACCACTATATCTGAAGTTAAAAAAAAAAAGTTTCATATGTTACTTAAATACTATTGATATGCTGTGATAAAACTCATTCGTCTATTTTAATGGCTAGGTGGACTCCATATGCACAGTTTTACCCATGTTTGATATGATTAGACTAAAATATGACTAATGGGAAATAATAATAGTAAAAGAACACTATGACCACCAGCCTATGCGTCACTCCCTCTTTTGCTGCCAAAATATCCATTAGCCATTCAGGCCGGGACTCAACTGGACCGCAGAGAGAGAGATTCAATACCTGGCAAGAATGTTTTAGAGGTAGATCCTCTAAATCCTCCAGTTCACGAGGTGTGGCCTCTGCAGATTTGGCCAACACGTCTCAAGGGAGTCCGATAGGATTGAGATTTTGGGAATTTGGGGGTAAAGTTATCACCTACAACCGTTTTGTTTTTGTTTGTTTTTTATTTTAACAGTTTCTGTTTTTTAACATTTTGCATTATTCTACTGTCCAACTTTCTTTGTATGGCACTATTCATATTGTAGGCAGTTAAGGGTGTTACTATGAAGGAAAAAGAAAGACAAAAAATACTTTAAAGACCATACCATGAAATCCAGTTTAATTTTAAATAAAATAGAAAAAGAGAATGATTTATTCATGAAAATTTATTTATCATTTATTTTATCAACTCAAAGAAGCTAAAGAAGTTGTAGAGTTTCTACAACATTGAACTTTCTTTTGAGGTTAGCAAAATATATATTTTTTATTGAATTAAACTGAATGTAACTAAATTGGCTTGAATTTAACTAAATCAAATCAAATAAAATAAAATAAAACCGAACACATACTATACTATAAAAATAGTAACATAGGTAACATCAAACATTCCCTCATTTCATGAATTAAAAAGCATTTAAAAAGTTCACTGCTGTATTTTGGACTATGTTTAATAATAACTTATAACTCAGGCTAGGAACATACAGTTGGTGGGAATTTTTAAGAGATGTTCTTATATGTATTGTTTTCATAACATTTTCTCCCTCATTAAACTAACTCAAATCCTCATGACTGCCCATTTCTCCTCTGCTCCTAGCACATCGTATTTGTTCCTTTTTATGTTAGATCCCAGTCATACTTTTCTCTTCTTTTATTTTTTATTAGATATCTCCAGCCTCAATAAAATGACATAACAAGTATAAAGGTAAAATCTATTTGACTTACTTAAAGACTTACATGTAAGTATGTAAGATAAACATAGGGTCAGTTTCAGTTAAGCTTATTTGAAATCATTTCTAAAACTGTAAATATCACAATCTACTTTGTTAATTATTTACCTGGAAGAAAACCCTTTTTGTTGACAGAAAGCTACAGTAACATCTTCCTAAAATAGTCTGTTGAGTGTTTGTTTTCTAATATACATGTTAGTGGTACTTGTTCTGCATTATTTCACTGTCACCTTCCCCTTTTTCCCAACACATGACTCAGCACTTTGTATTGTTGCGTGAGACAGTTGGAGCAAAACTATTTGCACAGCTTGCTTTAGGCAAATACCATGTAATCTCTTCTCTGGTATTTTTTATCTTTAAAAGTCTTTTTGTTGTATTAATGTTTGAAACAGATGATAACTGATTAACACTCGAGTTCCACCTTCCCTCTAGTAGCTTTTAATGGTTTCCCGCAGTTCCCAGTCCTGTCATGTTCCGAAATCAGTATTCCAACCCCGTCTCTGACTCTATTCGGGTCACTGAGTTACCCAGCCTTGTAGAAAATAGGATTTTGTTCAAAGGGAACAGTGAGCTGACTATGCCCCACCCCTTCAGCATATGTACGCCCACGTCAGCGCGTAGCATGATCCGCCGCTCGATCCGCAGTCTCCATCTCCTGCCGGTGTAACCATCGTGAACTCCTAAAGGACAAGAGACCGTGCTACGGCCACATTACCAGATTATTTTATCAGCAGATCGTCATCAGACATGGAAGCAGCCTCCCCCTCCAGTCAGTGCAGGTAGGACTGCGAAGTGCTTGTTGTTGGTGCTGAAGTCATCCACATATGAAGTCTAGGATATATTACTGGAATTATTAGCCTTTATAAACACAGATGGACGATTTACGTCTACTTGAGAAAATTATGTCCACATAATCTAGTCAATGTTGACATGACGGTTTATTTTAAGGATTACACCAGCCAATCAGATATTTTACTCTGCCTATGACGTAAGCGCGTTGTGTTACAGGTGGCAATAGCCTATTCCTACAGAAACTACACCAGGAAATCGGCATTTTCTTTTAACCGAGAACCTGTTTTATGGCTCTCTGAGCACTAAATATTTGTAGATAATATTTTGTGTTTCTGTTCCACGCCCTTGTGGTTTAGAAACTGACCAAACTGCTTATACTCGCTTGTTCTTTCAGATCAGAAACAGTTAGGCTGTCTGAGGGCCCCGTGCGCCCCGGGGCAGTGATATAGAATACCCTCAGCACCACGGACAGCTCCGAATCAGACTCCGTAGAAACGCACGATCATGCTTTCTGTTACTTAAGATGTAAGATTATTAAGAGTGAAAAAAAACTCATTATTAAATGTAGTTTGTGGATAAATTATTTATCGAATGAATAGTGGTATTAATTCAACACGCATTGGCCTAAGTAGTATAAACACCTTTATCAGGTGAATTGAAGAAGACAAAAAAGAAACTTCAGCCATGGGTAAAAGTGATTTTATTCTAAACAGAATATTTTCCTTGCTTAGGCAAAACATTTGACCAGAGTAAACTATTCACCATGCTTCCTTCTACTTCTTTTATTTTTACTTTTCCAATATTACAGGGATTCGCTTGTTTTCTTACTTTTATCTAATAAATATCAATAAATGTTTTATTTATTGGTCTTTGGCACTTAACTCTGACAGATGGCTCATCCCAGTATATATAAGCCAGAAGTTTAAATAACCATATCATCTACATTAAAGCCATGTAGAGTTGGGGCATTCTTGTCCAGGATCCTATTTTATAGGTGGAAGGATTTTATAGCGATCAACAGGCTCAAATACATACATACATACATACATACATACATACATACATACATACATACATACATACATACATACATACATACATACATACATACATACATACATACATACATACATACATACATACATACATACATACATACATACATAACAAATACTAGTTTTCTTTTTGCTTGTTTAAGTTTTATGGCACTAGAGGTCTTTATTTAATAGTATACAGACAGTTTATGGGTTTTGGAGATTGGGGAAGATATTCTCCCATCGAGATTCAAACCTTCGATGGCTGCATTGTATACTAAGGCCCCATACATGGGGTCACACAAACTGATGAAACCAGCTCCCTCAAAGTTTGTGCATTGCTTTACAACAAAAAAGTAATGCAATGAACAAACCTATTAGCGGGTGTAGGACACATTGAAATGCAGATTTTGCTGCATGTGACAGAGGAAACAGAGGCCATCAAGAAGCAGCTGTCATAACTCTGGTTGGTTATATAACCTCTTATATTAGAGCAAATCAGCCCAACAGCATGATGCTACCTGGACCTCAGTGCACTCGGCTTGATAGTTAATACAGGAATCTTCACCTTAAATCCTTTGACTCTAAGCCTTATTGAAGTTATCTGTATTGTTCTAAAGAAAAGAAAAGTTCAATGGTATAATATAAAAACATACAATTAATATGACATTTATTCATACCAAACACAAAGGGATGGAAACATTTACATGGAAATGGTGAAATTTCTTTTTTGCATGTAGTTTAAATGTGTAATTACACTAGTATTAATTTAGATCTGCGTGGTTCGGTTAGGTACCAAAACCTGTAAACTAGCTTGCTGAATTTTCATTAGGAATGTTAGTGGTTTCATGTATAACTAAGTTTTAAGTGTCTCTGCTGTCTTTTGAAGAACAGACAACCTGCTTAGATTACAAGGAAATCTTGCAGCATAGAGGATAATTATAAGGTAATGATAAGAAAAAGAAAATTGTGCAAGGTTCTTTTTTTGTGACAACAAAACTTAAACAACCAAGGTTTAAGTTAATCAAAGTTTGCTATAAACCACCATACATTATTCTTTCATGAAAAAAAAGTTTTTGCAATTGTCTTTTTTTTTTTTCAATGCAAACACAGTTTTCTTAGTTGTTAGTATCTTTTCTTAAATGGTTAATCTATAGCTTCTATTTTATGTTGTGCTATCTGCTGTTGCTGTTTCATTGGTTTACTGTGGGTTTATGAATCACCTATTTCAAAAGAGATGCTCTCTTTAAGTCACCTGAATTCTATAAATGAATGACAGCAGAAGTTCAGCTGTCATTTGAATGTCAGGTGTCTGTTTGTGGAGTGTTTGTTTGAAAAAGTGGCTCTCTAACTTAAAAAAAAAAAAACCCACAGATCTCTTTATTAGCAGCTGTTGTGCTCAGAAAGATGAATAACTTATGATAATTAACAGTCGTCTGTTTTGAAACATAAACCAAACTTTTCCTCTCAGTCTGAATATATGTAATATATACATTTCTCCAATGTTTTCAAGCACAAAAACTTGAGACAAAAACATTACCTAATCATTTAATATAAGGCTGGTTTTGAGTTAAAATTAAAGAAAGAGAGAAAATAAATAAATAAAAAGACCTGGAAAGTGCCCAGGGCTGCTCAGATGCAGAAGTCATCCTAGATGGCAGCTCCAAATTGGGCTCAAAGTCATCAGGCTCTCTTCCTGAAACCGCTGCAGCCTGAAGTCTCACTCTGTCTTAATAACAAAGCTTGGGCTACAGAGAGAACATTAAAAAGGTGATCATTTCACACAGATTTATGTTAAGAATTACACACTGCGTCTGACTTTGTTTAATGTTGCACCTTGGGGCATTTCAAATCTAATCAACATTTTAGAAGAATGATTTGTCTGGCAGCAACAAGAAAACCCAAAACTGTGTTGTATAATGTAATTTATTGGTTAAACTTTCCTGTACTTAGAGGGGTTGTATAATGAATTAAATCTGGATCTGTTGTCCATGTTTCATTACTTTGAAATATCAATTTTACTCTCTGGAGTTTTGATAGTTCCTCACAATTTCAAACTGTGTCTAGATAAATGTGCAAAATGCTGTATTTTTTTTTTTCAATTACAAGACTCTTAATCAGTTGTGTCATTTGTCATTTGTGTTTTTTTTTTATTTACACAGGCCATATAGTGTTGTTTTCTATTACTCTATTCAGTACACTGCCTGTTCATTCTACAGAAGATTTTCTTTTTTTACACACTTAAAATCTATATTGTTGCTGGTTTAAATAATTAACAGAACTCTCATACTATTTTTAACATTAAGGTCAGTTTGCCCACCCTTATTCATGTTGAAAATAAGTTAATGGTAAATTACTTTTAAAAGTGACTTATACTATGTAAATTCCAAATTTGGTTTCTTTATTAATACATTGTTGGATTCATTTGATGAGCTTCCTACATCTTGAGTCAGTCAAGATTTTTGACCTCAGGCTGAAATCTTAATTTTTCTGGTGATAAACAGCTGCTATTTGGAACTTTTCCAACTTTCTTTCACAAAGACATAAGCTTTAAGTATTTTTTTATTATGGCAATCTTTTGTTGATGTGCAATGTTGCTTTTCAGCTTATTTGAAATGCTGAACCAAATCATTTAGATTTGTTTCAAGAGACCTTTAACAAGCCTGCTTCTAAGTCCAGAGATATGACGATCACCAGAGAATACAGTTGCTAACAAAAATCTACCAGTTATTTGCTGTAAACTTTCTTTAGAGCTTTCAGTGTTGCTACAGGTATCTTGAGAGCTTTTCTCCAGTTTCAGTTGTGTACTTTATTCCATTGCAAAGAGACATCCAAGGTTTTACACTCTTACCTCTGTCCTTTTTTCTAATTTGCTGGTACCTGTCTTACTTCCCCATGGAGTTAAACAACTTTTGTGCCCCTAAATTGACTTTTGCACAGTGTTTTATATAACATTATTCTGTGAACAATGGTCTTAGCCAAACATGATGGCAAATATCAGTAAACCTCTCATTGGGGAACAAACCTTTATTTCAGATTTTGTAGTCTCATTATATTTCATTCCAGGTGTTAGTCCAAGAAGACTCAAAGTAAAAATTTGAATCAGAAGATGCTTATAAATTTCTAATTTTAGTGATGTACATATTTATGACTCTGGGTATTTATGGCCTTTAATACTATTTATGATTTTACTCTAATATTTTTTATGTTGCATTGTACAGAATATGCCAAATCAAAGGTTGAGCGATGTTGAGAGACAGGATCAATACAATGGTCTCATTTTTACATCCTAATGACCAGATATTTCAATAAGTTGTTGTATAGGTTGAACTTTTAGATCAATTGATAATTGTTTAATATAATTTTTTTACAGATTTAACCCTTTCATCAATGACAGTTTCAGTGATTGAGAAAATGTGTTTTCAGTTACAGTTATGAGAAGTACAAAGAGACGGCAGACTGGTTGTTAACACAAACAGAGAGGCGTCCCAAAGTGGCCATCATCTGTGGTTCAGGCCTGGGTGGTCTCGCCGAACTGCTAGATGATAAGACCATCTTCCCATATAAAGACATTCCATATTTTCCTACCAGCACTGGTAAGATGTTTATTCTCACAGAAGGTTTATGCAGGGATGTTATATCTACTTATTTAATAATATGGACAAAAATATTCTCAACTGCTTTATAAAATTCTTCCTATAAATTGTGAGGTGATATACCGATTTGATCATGAAATCAGAACCTTGGCTTGTGCGTTCTAAAGCACCAGCTATATTCTACTTTAATGTCTACCTTACTGTCATTTTGACCAGTCTATCAATCACGATGCTACCACCACCATGCCTGACAAATTCCATAAAGGTCCTATAATTATAAAATGGATGTTTTTCTTTCTACATATGAAAATCAAAGATGGATTTCACTCTTATGCTTTCATTTTCATGCAGCTCGAATTAACGAGGGCCTTCCATTGCTGAAAAAATACTCAATGTTGCTTTTCATTCTTTCCTTGAGTGACATTTGTTGGACAATAGCTCAGTTTTGGGGAACAGTTGTCTTTAATTGTCCACAATTTTACCCAGTCTGTTTGTAGATTAGTTAAATGGAGAGCTTCTAAGGTCTCTGCCAAAATGCATCTCTAATAACTCTTTTAGAAGCTTATTCATTATTAAGTATTTTAAAGAAATTGGACCTTGATTCACACCTGATTTTAATTCCAATGATTGAATGCCAGCTCTTTCGTTTAATGGTATTAAAGTCGTATTAGACTGTTTTCTATTAATTAGAGTAAATGTTTAGCACTTTGGTCTTTGTCATTTAATTTGGTTCATTGTTGGAACATCTACAGGAATTCTCTACACAAATTTATGGCCCTTAAGTGAGGCCTGATAAAATTTTACAATCTTTCAATAAGCAAAATTCCCTGCAGCCTTGTTGTAGCAGCTCATACTTTCTCTGTGATGTACAGTTCAGGGCCATGCAGGTCAGCTGGTGTTTGGGAAGCTGCAGGGCTGCGAGTGTGTCTGCATGAAGGGGCGATTCCACTTCTACGAAGGCTACGACATTCAGACGGTAAATGGCAAAATGTCTTAAAGCTCTATGCTTTTGTCTCTGGGTTTTCTATAACCTTTACCACCATGGCAACATGACCTTAAAACTCATAGTGTTCCTGTGGATACCTTCTATTGATTCAGATGAGAATCTTTCAGTGCATGTTTAGGGTTTTGTTACACACTTCTTTCTAAAATATATAATTTAATAGTAACATAAGAGATAACATGTGTAAACTTCTCTTACACACATCTTAGCTAAACATCTTGATATTTCCTTAATTATCCCCCTTGCTCAACTTTTATTGTTAATGTCTTAGAAAGATCTGTGGCAATTTTTTTGTTATTCTTTTTTTATAATATATTATCATTAACATCCTCATTATAATAATTTCTTTGAAAGCTTATAGCATCTGGCATCTTTGCCGTTTTTACTCTCCAATGCTCACTGGCCTCTTCTTTTTTTCAGACCTTGCTGATGCAAATGATATACTATACGGGGTGACTGATGTTAAGCTGGCGGTTTAATCTCTGACTTTGTCAATCACATTGCGGCAAACATTTACTGGCTTTGCAGTTGGACCCTAATCTTTAAGCTCTGTCCTTGACTTATTCTTGAATGTGTTTTGTTCATCTTTAAACTTCTTAACTCTATTATATGAAGATTCAGACATAATCCAAGAGGAACTTCCTATCCAACAAGAAGAGCCTTCTTCCTACTATTCTATAAACAGATTTAATTAAATCCTTGGTGATGACATAAATTAGCATTTTTTGACTCTGTTATAGCATGATAGGTTATTTTTGCCTCTACCATTCAAATAATGATTTACTCTCTGTGTTGAATAATCAGCTGAGACAGCAGTGAGAACAACATCAGTTGTGAAAAATTATCAACACATGACTGGCCTTTGGCCTGTGGCTACTAGTTTTAGTTTACTACTGACTGCTCTGTGCCATCTTCTCATAAAACTGTCATAATAACTAGACACAGTCATAAACTCCTGCTCCATGCATAGTATAATTGAAGTACAGATACATACAGCAATATGGCTCCTGCACATTAAGCTATAAAAATTCCCAATACTATGTAGTTCAACATGCTATTTTTTGTATTAAAAATGCATCTTAATCTAATTTTTATATTATTTTTTCTCAAGATACTTAATGATGTTTTTCATTAAGTCTAAACTACGATCATTAGACATAACATAAACAAATGCCTGAAATATATCCCTCTGTTTGCAATTAACTATATTCTGATTTATGATTTCTGACATTATTACCATAGATAAATGATATTCTTTTCTTAGTTATGCAAGTAATGCCTTAATGAAAGGCTTTTCTCAATTACTTTGGTAAACCTCCTATCTTCCCATCCCATCTGAGATCCAACCTTTTAACGGGGACTGCATTTATAATATGCAAAACTCTAACAAAACATGGTGATATTCTCAAGTGACAGCATTGACCTTATCAAGACATAAAGGCTGAAAATATTTTACTAAACTAACTATATGCTTTCAGTGAAATTGCAATAAGTTAGGAAATGAGAAACAGAAAAAGGTAATATGACTGTCATGAGAGGGAGGAACTGTCATTTATATGCCATCAGCTGCTCTCTAAAGGTTAGCACATACCTTTTTATGTACAGGAGCCTATAATAATAAAGCTTTCATCAGGGTGTGAAATATTAACTTCTCATGTGGTTCATTCTGAGCTTGCCTCCTTTACTGGTGTAAAATAATAAATAATAAAGTAAGAATGCATTTGTTTCTGACACATATCATCTTTGACTTCAGGTCACCTTCCCGGTGAGAGTTTTCTTCTTACTGGGTGTGGAAATTCTCATTGTGACGAATGCTGCAGGTGGACTCAATGACAGTTACAGTGTAGGAGACATTATGCTTATCAAGGATCACATCAACATGCCTGGGTTTGCTGGGCAGAACCCTCTGTGTGGGCACAATGATGCAAGGTAGAATGCAAACAAATTAAGAAGTATATTATTTAAATTCTGTCAGTTTAGTACACCGAAGCATGTAAGGATTCAGTTTGATACTGAACAACTACTGTTGCTGCAGGTTTGGAGTGCGCTTCCCTTGCATGTCTGATGCATACGACCGAGAGCTAAGGGTCCTATCAAAGCAAGCAGCAAAGGAGCAGGGCTGTGACAGCTTCCTGCAGGAAGGCGTTTACTGCATGCTAGCTGGACCGACATATGAGACTATTGCAGAGAGCAGAGTTCTGCAGAAGCTTGGGGCTGATGCTGTGGGTGAGTACAGCTAAAGCTCCCTTAAAGAGAAGCATTTACTTTAGAGCTCTGTGATATAAGATAAAAGTAAACTGCAAAATAAATAATAATGCTTAGTCTGAGTTTAGAGAAAATCTACACTAATCTACACTAAACTGCATGTACAGCTGGAATGTCAGAAAACAGGTTTCTCACAATTCTTTTGCAGGGCTAAATTATTCTTGCTTTCAACTAAAATTAATTTGTTGTTTTGATCTAAACCCCACAAATTTTGAAATTTACCCTTTTTTAGCTATTGATTCAGTCTCACAGTATCTTAGTACCCAAAACCTTGAGAATGTATTGTTTTGCATTTTGTTGAATATCTGTATGGGCTTTCTGTGCAGGTATGAGCACTGTTCCCGAGGTGGTGGTGGCTCGTCACTGTGGAATGCGTGTTTTGGGTCTGTCCCTCATTACAAACAAGGTTGTGACAGATTACGAAAGCAGCGAAAGGGCAAACCATGAGGAGGTGCTGAGGACAACTGAACATCGAGCACAGGACCTTCAGAGGCTTGTCAGTCACCTCGTGACTAAACTCTAACGTCTTCCCATCTGAGATGTGTTTGAACAAAAAAGTAACTGAAGTTCCTCTGTTGTTGTAGCTTTGATCAAAAGGTTGGAAATAACGTGCAAACAGGAAGTCTTTATGGTCTTTGAAGATAGCTTTTTCCATATTATTGGGTGAGACAATGAGTTTTAACATTTTAAGTTTTCGAGAATATATAGAAACAAGAAAAAAGTCATAATATCTTTGAAATAAAATTAAAACACTACAAAAGCCTAGTTTGCAACTTTATTTTTTTTGCGAACAATTTTTTCTCTATATTTTGTCCGATGATTTGGCAGATTTAACTCTGCCAAATCCTGTGTTTTAAGACACCTAAAATTTTATTTTACAAGGCTGAAAAAGCAATCTTTTAATAATTTATCATTCTACAACATGATTAAAAAGATTATGAAGAGGGCCAACTCTTATGAAATGTTATCAGCATTGCAAAGTTAATATATTGTATTCATTCTATACAGTTAGCTATTCTTTTTTAGTACCGGGGTTGGTGGTGGAAACAAACAAGGGGTATCAGACAACTACTGCCCCAGGATTTGCAATATAAAAGGTTCAGTCTGCTGCACTGAGGAAACTTAGCAGGTGCTGAAATAGCCTTACACTTTCTGATTAAACTTTTGCTTTTTTTGGTATTTTTTTTTAGCTTAGCTCAAACAAACTCATTATAAACACGCTACACGGCTGCAACTGATTAAAGGTTTGGTTCTTTGATTAAAGGCTTGTTTTAAGTTTCAGGATCTTTTAATCTATGACTGGATCACTTGCAAACAGAAAATAAGTCAGAAACAAAAATTTTTATTTCTTTTGGAAAGGCCTGTTTGTTCTGCTCAGATTTGGTTTTCAGTGTCAATTACCTCAGCATCTTGTTTTCAACCAGTCAAGTATGTACATGGGTCCAGACTGAAATTAGAAAGTAATAGTCTGGGGGGAAAAATTCTATTATGGGACACCCTTAACAGTTGCACAGTAATTGACATTTTATGCAGCTTCTTATCTCAGGCAACAATTATGAATATTTGATTTTAATGTCTTTTACACTTAACTGTACTCATATGTCCCATGGTAAATCTCTATAACGCTGATTAGCAGTAAGGAATATTCATAAAAAGGAATAAGAAATCTAAATTCTCTGTTTAGCGAGATATCATTTATACATCTCTTTCAGAACTTGCATATGGAGGACCAAGTCTGCCATATTGAAAAAAAACACAGAAATAAATAAATAAATGCTCAATAAATATATAAGCATACCTAAAGTAGCAATATCAAAAGCAGTGTCTTACCACCAATTAAAAACTGTGAATCTACATCAGGCATGCCCAAAGTCGGTCCTCAAGGGCTGCTGTCCTGCAGGTTTTAGAGATTTCCCTGCTCCAGCACAGCTGATTATTCATTGATAGCTGATTAACAGGCTTTTGCTGGACTTTGATAATCAGAATCAGCTGTGCTAAAGCAGGGAAACCTCTAAAACCTGCTCGACAGCAGCTCTTGAGAACCGACTTGGCATGCGTGATCTACAGGATGCTATCTGCTGTTTACAGGGATGGAGATTTGTTTTTGTTATCAGCAGTGCATAAAATTACTTTTTTTCTGCTTTTTAAATGAAAGGAGAAACTTTAATCTGAACCTTCTTTTAATGTATTAAAGAAATAATATAAATCTGATTTTAAGAGTCTATTAGATGTTAAAAAACTTTTTGTTGTTGGTCTTATGTAATGACAGATTATGAAAAGAATTAATACAATCTCAATGACATGAAAAGTTAACCTTGACAATTAATATTTTCATATAAGAAGGTAGATGTGGAGTTTTATTTGCTCACTAAGCAATGACAACAAGGTAACAGCAGGGACCTGCAGTTTTCAATATGCTCTGTGCTGTCTTGGAAACATTTGCCAGATTTCCTTGACCGTCTCATTCATTAGAGCTGAAAAGGGCAAAAAAATCCAAGATCAGCAGTCAGCCTCTTAGACCATTTGTATCAGGCAGAACACCAAGATGCTAATGGTATTCTTAAAGGGGAATCACTCACAAGAGCAAACCAGCAGCATGTTCCCTCATTTTCAGTAGGAAACAATTATCTTTAGCAGGGCTTCATGTTTATACAACTAAAAATGGTGCTATTTTTGCTGGAATTATTCAAAGTTTAGAACTTGTTTTAGACAAGTTCATCTTCATTCTGTTTTTTTTGTTATATTGCATCGATTAAATTTTTTTCGTGTTTGATTTAACCCTACTTATTATTTCTAGGACTCTGTTTCAAAACTACTTTACATACAGAATAGTTTTCTGAATAAGATAATTAATTTCATTGAAAAATTTTGCTTTTGGTAAATAAAAAAATTGCAGAAAGCATTTGGACACTGTTTTTTATTTCATTGATGTATGTGTTTGAGTGTGAAGCATTAAATTAGTCAATAGTTTTCAAAAAGAGAAAGGGTTTCTTCTCCTTCTACCGATAATGAGGATTAGTGAACAGGGAGATAAGGGCAAGCAAACACTCACCTCAATCTCCATCTGTCACTGTAAGCATACTTAAAACATGAAGTCGCTGTGAGATTGAGATGAAGGGGAAATGGCTGTACTGTGCTCCGCACCATTCTTTTACATAATTCATCCACATGCAGCTTGTAGATTTTCAGCCGACTCTGGAGCTTAAATATTAATGCAAATGAGGTGGGCAGCCCAACAACACAAACACAACTCCATGTTTGTCCAAAAAGCATTTACATGCATTTGCTCCTAAATGCTGAAACAAAAAGAAAAAGATATTCATATAGGATACAAACATTTGACTGCTTTGGATGGCAATATCCCCTATTTAAAGGGATAGTTCTTTGATATGGTTGTATCTACTGAGCAGTAGTAATTAGTCAGAACAGTACACCTATACATATTTCTATTATTCTGTTTTATCTTGTAGTTTATACCTTATATGCAATTGTTCTACTCAATGTGATTGTTGTTTCTACTGCTGGTTTTGATGTGAACATTGAAAAAATTAATTTCTTTGTTTTAGACACAAAATTGGCTGATAACGTTGTTTCTGATTTCTAGTGAGTGTAGTATGTGATATCTATGATTAGGGGATCAGGTTACAAATCCCAATACATATGAGGCAAGTTATGATAAGAGTGGAACCTTTAAAAAAAAGAGTTTTGGAGATCCATTTCTGTATTTTGCTTATTTTGGATGCAAGATGTCGGATCCAGGGGCTACATCTTCAACAAGCTTAACAAAGATTTAAAAAAATTAAATCTTGTCCTTGTTTCGATTTCTGCTACAACATTTAAATAATAGAGTCATAAGTTGTAGGTGTAGATACTTCCTACACCACTTCACAAACCTCAAATCATCTATTGTGCTCAAATTATGGATTATAATATAATAAAACAGGTTTGGGATATGTTGCAAGATGTGATTTGCATCATTGATGTAGAGCTGATAAAGTGTGAAGGTATAGCTTTGATAATACCCATAATCTACTTTTTTTATTAAACAAATACGGCACTTCAAGGGGATTCAAAGAATTTATTGGAGATGGACAGAAATCTGATTGCATGATGACTACTGTACTCATTTAGGCACAATCTAATTACCAAATGGATACAAAGTTAGAGGCCTGTCACACTACTGTATTTTGCATTTGACATACAGTTAAACCTAAATGTAAACCTTTAGCTGGTGAAATTTTGCCATGAAATTGTCCCTGTACTAAAAACCTTTATGGCATGATAAATGAGAATCTCTAGCCTGGGTGCCAGTCCGAACTTAGTCCCGCCCACAAGGTTTGAGGTCGGGGAAGTTCGGTCTGGCTCTGCTCCATAGTAGCGCGAGTATTAAAGCCCACTGTCAGGCGATCCAATCAAATTGTCAGGGCGGGCTTTATACGATGATGGACAGATGATCAAGAGTAACGTTATCAACCACGTGACCAAAGCGCGCTTGGGTGACAACAATAATGGCTGCCGCTGGAGAGTTTGGGTGAGTAGATTCTGCTATTAGGTCTGTTCTAGAAGATATCGACAGCAAATTAATTTTAAAAGAGGAACAGAGAAACGCGATCAAGTCTCATCTTCTTATTCTAGGCGTGAAACTGCACGCTTTGATTTTTGTGGACAACAACTATGCCTGGCTTAAGATACGTCACGCACTCCGTTGCTCTTATTGGTTGTAGGTCTATCCAATTGAGTGCAGAGGCATTTTTTTTCCTGGTTCGTTAAAAACACGCCCCATAATCACAGCTCTATGGAGCAGTATCAGACTCATGTTCTGACTAGAATTGAGTCGGACTACGTCAGGCTAGAGAATCTCCCCCCAATTCTCAAAACTGATCTTACACTATCTGAGATCTATTATGACCGAGATACTTAAATGTATAGTGGAGGATTTTCATGAAATTTTGAAAAGACCTCTCCACTTTAAAAAAAAATGCACATGCACAAACCTGTACCCGCTCCCGAGAGGGAACGCCTATTAAACACGTGCGAGAACATGCACAAGCCCATTTCTCCTGGTGCACTCTCTGTTTAAAATGTGCTGTATGCATCACTCATACAAGCTTACCTTCCAAAAGAAGATTTACGCTGTGTCAGACTAACCACGGGTAAGTGAAAATGGGGACGAGCACTTGAGACGGCATTAGGTAAACATATCACCAGAATGATTGACAATTAGTAGGACCAATTATTTGATGATCCACCCGGAAAAAAAAAAATAAATCCTCAACTATACCTTTAGTCATAAATAATCCACTTAAGTACAGACTACATATTTGTGCACAAGTGATGACTGCAACATGGGGCATGCTTCTGTGGCGGAGTGGTTAGCACACATAACCCTTGTACAGAGGCCTTAAGGCTGATTTATACATCCAAACTGGGTCGTGTGTTTAGGTGTAGCAGTGAATGCAAAAACGTCCCCGCCCTTTCCGCAGACACTCTGCTGACCCTTACCTAAATTGTAGGTGACTGCAGACAGTACCGCAGACAGGAAGACTCTGATTGGTCAAATCTACATCCGCTTGTGAGCTTGTTTTGTTTGTATGACCGCAATTGCAGAAAACAACTCGTGAAGTTGGACCAGCTACAAGAGCGAGGTACACGAGAACGCTGGGACCCTTTTTCCACCTGGATCCCCGCTGTTTTTCGCCCTCATGTCCCTACGTTGTCGCACAAGCTTGCCCCCACTTCCCCACCGCCTTGGTATCTACAGTAGACCCACAGCTAGTTCGTGATTGTCCCCTATTGCGTTGTGGCGTGGAATATAACATAGCGCAGAGCAAGCTTCAAAATTGAGCATAAATAAAAAATGTCTGCGTCAAGCTCACTGCGACACACTACTGCGGGGAGTATAACCAGCCCTTTGGTCCTCGGCACGGCCAACCCGGGTTCGGATCCGACCTATTAATGGGAGACAGCGGCCTAGTAGTTAGGACATAGAGCTTGGAATCCATAGGTTCTGAGTTCAGGCCCCACTCCCACAGACTGACACTCTAGGTTTCTGAGCAACCCACACTAGCCCCACACTACTCATTGTGCACTGCACAATGGCAACCCACTGCTCCCCAAGGGGATGGGTTAAATGCAGAGAGTTCAGTTTGGGGGAGTGTTTAGGGCATTGCACTAACCTCCCAGAGTTTCTATGTTCAAGCCCCACTCCCACGGACTGCCACTCTAGGCCCCTGAGTAAAAAGACCCAATGGCAGCCCACTGCTCCCTAAGGGGATGGGTTAAATGCAGATAGTTAATTTCATTGCCCTGTACTTGTGATAGTGTAATGACAATAAAAGCTGGAGAAAAAAAACAAAAGACATCAGTGAGTGTGTTTTACTCGATGGTGCATGCAGGCTGACGACAGGTCTCATCTGTAATCTAGTGTTGATCCATCTATTGTCGCCACGCCAAGTGAGCCTATAGGTTCTGCTATTGATTAGAGTGCAAAGAAAAGCCAGGAAATTAAGGAGGACAGGTCTGCTGAGTTTACATTCTTAAAGACCATCTCATGTCCAGACTCATTTCCTTTATCACACACAACATATACTTGGATGATCTTTAAACACTGCTCTTTCTCTGTGACTGTTCTAAATGTATGAATTGCAAAAATTAAAATTTCTACAAACTTGTTTCACCACCTCTAACATCGACTGCCAGCAATTTGTCAGCATTGTACTAGTACACAGGCTGGAGCTGGAAAATTATTGCTTCATTTCTTTAGAGATGTGACAGGTCAAGTTCAACAATGCATCACTCTGAGCAATCGTCCCAAGTTGTTGATATTTTCTTCATTTTTCTTTTTTTTCCCTTGATCATTAAAATGTGTTGACATGAACTTTAAATAAAACATACATCTTCATTTATATTACCTAAGCAGCAGAATGCAAAGTGCTTTCAGTTATGCCTGCAGGTGCAGGGGGAGTGGTGGCCTGGTGGTTAGGTCATAGAGCTTGGAATCCAGATGTTCTGAGTTTGAGCCCCACTCCCACAGACTGCCACTCTGAGTCCTTGAACAAAAAGACCCTTAACCAGACAGGCTTCCAAAAATGTTAAACCTAAGCTTGCTAGGTCACAACACCGAGTAGAGAAATTGTGTAAAAGGGTCCTTTTATGACAGATGTCCCACATTTATCATGGAAGAATTTTTGCTCTGAGATAAATGGTGGGTTTTAATAAATATTAAACTTCATTTTATTTTATTTTTTACAGCTCAGATTGGTTTTGTATTATTGTACAGTCATCAAAAGTCATTTTAAATTACTGTAGAGCAAAAACCACTTTGTAAACAACCTCCATTGTCTCTTTTTTTCTGCCCAAAGTGATCTGCTGATATCAAGTTTGATTGTATCGGAAAGTTCAGGGTAAGTTATAAAAAAGTCTTGATTGAAAAAACTAGCTTAATCTGCAAACTGATCGTTTTCAAAGAGGACAGAGGTGCCTAATATCACTTTCCTCATGTGTCAGCAAGGAAAAGGGTGTGTCCAACTTGACTTTGCATTGACATGACCTAACATGTAAGCATTGCAACTTTGATAAATGTGTCATATTGAATCAAGAACTTCAAAGTCATAAATCCTGTTTATGTGAAAACTGCTTCCTTCAACTTCCTATGGTTCCTGTAAAGCATCCTCGTATAAGCCACATGTGGGTTGCCTCTCATCCAATGCTGTAAACTTCCCAGTTCTGTTCAATTACCCAAAAGAATGGCTTTTACAATACAATGCATAAAATCAAAGAGACCTTTTTTATTTGAACCTTAATATAACTGTACAGATTCTGTAAGTTCTAAAATCATAGCTATCGAAGCATCCATCCATTTTCCGTCACTCTTATCCCAAGCTGGACCCTGGTCTATCGCAGGGCAACACAGAGACAAACGGGACAAACAACCATTCAAACAAACTCATAACTAAGGAGAATTTAGAGAAGCCAATTAACAAAACAGTCATGATTTTGGACTGTGGGAGGAAACCGGAGTACCTGAAAAGAACCCACACATGCTCAGGGAGAAGATGGAAACTCCATGCAAGAAAGACCCCAAGATTAGAATCAAACCCAAAAACTTCTACTGCAAGGCAGCAGTGCTACCCACTGCCCTATGAGCATCCTGCTTTAGAAACATAAGAGAATTCATTTGGTTAAATATTGAGTTAACACCAGCTCTTTTCAATGCTACCTTTGGCACTTCTATCTTTTTTTTTTTATCTAAGATGCTGATGCTTAGTGGGTGTGGTTAAATAATCAACCTATTGTGATCATCTGGGCTCTGTGTTCCTAGTATATATTTGCTTCCCTCTTACAGTGGGTTCAAAGGGACAGTCTCATGAATCTGATAAAAAGTCAACTTGTTTCTTCAACTTTCAATCTCAAATAAACATACAACATCATTAAGCTGAATACGGGTCACGTAAAATGTTGTGGAGAGGTTTGGAGCAGGGTGAAGTCAAAAACAATATCCCAAGCTTTAAACATCTAACAGAACCAATTCTACTACCCATTTAGCAGTAAACAACAGTCCGGACAAACTGATATAGTACTAGTAAGAAAACGTGGTTGTGGCAGCATTATTGCAGGGAGGAGGCTAATCTTCAACAGGGACAAAGAAGCTGGCTAGAGTTGATGGATGGGAGTAAATACAGGGCAATCGATGAAGAAAACCTGTTAGGGGCTTGAACATAGTTGATCCTGAGAGAGAGGTCTACATTTCTGTACTGCTAGAGGTGGAATACTCTCAATTTAAATTCAATAACATTTCATTAACCACAAGGAGAAAAAATAAAGAAATCTTTTAGATCAGCATGTTTATGAGATAGAAAGAGCTAGATAAATTTAAGACCTAAAATCCACTGAGACTTTGTTAAAAGGCTTTTGCATTTATTTTCACAGAACTGCTGCATCAAATCTATCTGAAGTAGGGCTACTTTGCAAAGCAGCATGTACACAGTTCTCTGTCTATCTTGGTGCTAAACATATTCTACTGCTCCCCCCCAGACACTTGTTCTATTCACCATTATTCTGTATCATTGCTCTGTTAGATTTACTGAAGAATATACTTAAAATAGCCTTTTTATTTGACCCTTTATGATGAAAGTATAGATTGCTGAGCAGACTGTTACCTCAGGAGTTCAACCGAAATGTATCTATAAGTCTGTGGCCTTGTATGTAACATCAAGCATGTCCATATTAAATGGGTCCAACCTGGCAAACAATTGAAACTTTATATTTGAAGATACTCAACTTAGACACCAATGACAACTTCTGAACCCCGTCAGATAGCGTTCCCCCATCTTACATGGGGGAACGCTATCTCACGGGATTTAGAAGCCCATCAGATACCGTTCCCCCCATGTTAAGCAGGGGGAACGCTATCTGACGGGGTTTATAGGCCCGTCAGATAGCGTTCCCCCTGATGTCATTTACGTTGAGTTGCAATAAATGCAGAACTCTCTGCAGGTACTTCTCTTTGTCGTCCACTCTATTCAGCTGGCTTTTGAAACACACACCGAGAAGGTGGTGGCCAGGTGGTGAGGGTTACTGGGGCGAGAAACTTTTACTGGTAACTAGTTACTTTTATTGTGGAGTAACTCAGTAACTCAGTTACTTTTTGGGTGAAGTAACTAGTAACTATAACTAATTACTTTTTCAAAGTAACGTGCCCAACACTGATTAGGGCTAGCAGAAGTGTGCTGCAGTTCTGTGTTTTGGCTACAGGTGGCAGTATCACTAGAAAACTCCATAATGCCTCTTTAAATGTGACAAAATGTGCTTTATTTTAGCTATATATGTTTAGCTCTTCAAAACATATATAAGAGATCATACAACAGAACTAGCTGCTCAGTGGAGCAGTGGGTAGCACTGCTGCCTAGCAGCAAGAAGGTTGTGGTTGTGGGTTTGTTTCCCGGCTGGGGTCTTTCTGCTTGGAGTTTACATGTTCTCCCTGAGCATGCGTGGGTTCTCTCCGGGTACTCCAGCTTCCTTCCACAATGGTTGTTTGCCCTGTCTGTCTCTGTGTTTCCCTGCGATTGACTGGTGACCTGTCCAGGGTGTACCCTGCCTCTTGCCCGTAGACAGCTGGAGATTTGTACCAGCATCCCTTGCGTGTCAGAAAATGGATGGAAAACAAAAATAAAACAAATGTGTTCTACAAAGAAACAGGTAAATAAAATATATGGGCATCTGCTCACATAGGAGCCACAAACATAATTGTGGGACTGTTGTTAAGTTCTGACCTTTAAGCTACTTTCATAGAAAAATGTTTCAAACAAATCTATAATAAATGTTGTAGCTTTGCCACAATAGCTGTCTGCATGACCTGCTTTTTTTCTGCTTGTATCAAGATATGCATACAGTGAAATGCTTCCTGCTTTAGGGAGGACTTACTCCTGCTCATTACAGTGTTATTACTTCATCCTGGATATTATGACATCCTGGAGTAAATTAGTTTAAGAAATATATGTGTGCATGAATCTGTGTCCCCTTCATGCTAGATGCCCCATTAATGAAAAAGCCTCCTCTTCCCGCTTCACGTATTTTTTTCATAATTTACATTTGTTATGTGGGCTAATCACAGCTGGCTAGAGGCTGTGTGGGAAATGTGAGTAGTGTGTGAAGCTCTAATTAAGTCTGTGAAGACTCTCACACACTGGCTGCACATTTGCACACAGCTTCAACGAGAACGCGGGAACATGGGGGTCTCGTGCACGCGCACCAGATCAAAAAGACACTGCGTCCACAGGGGAGCTGCTGTAAAGGGGGAAACTGATGCAACAAGAGAGCGGTTGATCCATCTGCGTCTTTAGCACACATCATCCTGTCCACTGCAGTCCTATCGCATGCAGCTTGGCAAACAAGGAGGCGCTGACTCAGACGGACGGATGCTGACAGTGCGCCCCCAGCGGCCACGAGGCGCCGCTGCAGCTCCGGCGCTCGAGTTAAAAAGCGGAGGCTCTGCGCGCAGGGGCCACAGTGTGGAGTTTGTTACAGCAGGAGACACTGAAAAAAAAGTTAGCGGCGGATTTTTTTCCCCTCTCCCACACTTTTTCATCACTGGTGTCTTACCTGCAGCAGCATACCAACGGAGGAACATCTTCATCTGTCTCATCATCATGGCAAACAAAGCACAGCAACCTCCTCACCTGCACCTGGCCGAGGTCACCGCTTCCCAGTTCCTCGATATTTGGAAACATTTCGATGTGGATGGTAGGAGATTTTTTAGTGTTTATATGTGAAGAAACTGACAATGATGTCAAAATTGTTACATAAATATATAGGTTTGTCACATATAGTTTGCTTTTGTATTAATAACATGACTTTGTGCTTTATTAATCCGTATGAATTGGCTCTATAGATTAAGATTAAATCGGACTGTGAGTGGATGAGACTGCAGAGACCAGGACTAGTTCAAAATATGAGCTGGATTATCCTAAATGGATCAGTTTCCAAAGCAACTTGACATAGTTATTGTAATTTGGCAGGTTAAATGAATTGAAATGAACTGGATCGGACGATTATTAAATTGAAAATATTATTTTCCTCGGTGAAAACTCAGCTAAAATGATTTTAAATCATAAACAAAAGAATCGTTTTTTGTTCTTTTTTGTTTGTTTGTTTTTTGTTGCTGTTGTTTTGTTTGTTTTTTTGCAAAATATTTTTACAGAATTACTGAGCTGTTTCTCTTAAAAAAAGAAATATATATATTAATATATTATAGAAAGAACAAAATCTTACTTGAGCATTACAAAAAGTTTAGATCAGAATTTGTAAGTTTCAGTTATATGTAAGTAAAACACATTTTTTAATGATGTCACTTTTGTTAGTGTAAATCTGAAAATAGCTGATAAAATAAATGCTTTTGTTTTTGTGTGTTTGTTTTTTTTTTTTTTGTTTTTTTTTTTTTACTCGATCTTATTAAAACAAGATGTTATTGCTGCTGTCCCTGGTTTGCTCAGCCTGTGCGCTTTTCACTTAAATCCAGTTGGTACATGAAGTACTCCTGGACGTTGCTGTTTTTTGGTTTCATTCAAAGACCGTAGTTTGACTTAACCCTTGCATTTGTTTCCAGTAAATCTTAAGCTTTGTATATGTGATCACTTCTTTTTTCAACTCCATTTTTGCAATGCACAGTCCTGCAGTTATTTCCACAATTTTTTCTTCAAGGTTGTGGGTACAAATCCCAACCTTTATTCATGGAGTTTACATGCATTAATTAATTTATTTATTTATTTTTGGCGCTCCAGAGAACAAAAACTTGTATATTGGGTGAAATAGGCACTCCAAATCATCTAATCGCATTGGTTGGGTATGTCACTTTTGACTTGAGACCTCTGCTCTCCTCCACTGACAGCTGAAGATAGGCAAAGGCCCAATCTTTAGGTGCAATTTGTCAGGTGCTTGTTGTTTCATGCAAAAGCATATTTTGATAAGGTGTTGTATTATGCAGAATGAAGGCTGATCAATCAAGTCTACTGCAGAAGAATCTTTTTTTCATTCATCAATCTGTCTCCTTTCAGTGTGCTTTTTCATGTCACTCTGCATATGTTTCCAAAAGTACATGACTCCATATAAGTAGTTTCATATGCCTTTCTACAATTTTTTAAACCACCTGAAATTAACCATCTGATATTTCCTAATATTTTTATTGGCAATGGTAGAGAAGCATTTGACTTTTACCAATTATTTTAGACACTAGATTGGTGCATTAGAGTGATCTAATGGTGATTTGATTGAGGTGAATGCAGGAAAAAGAATATGACTCTATCCTTTAGTAAGAAAGTACATAAAAAAAAAGAATCACCACTTAAACAGACTGATAGGAGTTTGATTCTTGTAAAAAATTCAGGGTTGCTCCATCAGTTTCTTGATGTACCTAAACCTGCAGACAAAATAAGGGTGGAGCACCTTTTTTTCTTACACACATGTACTCCAGGGAATTCTTTGTCAGTGTGCTGACTATTTGATGCCTGCACAGAAGCTGAAGCATTTTCCACTGGGAAATCAAGGTAGGATGAGAAGAGAAGCTAGGTGTGGTGGAGGTGCTCAGCAGCTGAGCTTCTCCAATTTTATCTGTCTGAGTGGCGAGAAAGTTGTTTTTTTTTCTCAATAGGTCTGTTGGATTGGACTGATATTAGTCCCTGCAGGTGCTTGAATTCTTCGTTGCTGTTTTACATATTGTACTTTGCAACAAGCCACTTTGCAAACCAAAAATGAGGAGTGAGCATCCACAGATTTGGCTGTGGGTGTTTGATTTCAGCTCTCATTACTGGGAGTGTTGCCTGGCTCGGCTGATAGAAAGGAGGACTAATTTGTTTGTTCACACTGAGTAAACATCTCCAAGATAGAGATAAAAATACACAGGAGACGAAGCATCTAGAGACGATGGAAGTACATACTCCCTTGTTGGCACTGGGATCAAATCTCAGCTGGATTGCGTCGCTTTTACAGCTGCTGTGTACCATGCCGCTCTCATCTTTCTCTGCTGTTTTCTGTCAGGCCTTTTCACTTCAGCTCCTTCAAAGTGGAAAAATATAAAACAACTGCTGTTCACTTTTCTAATTTTAGAGCATTAGTTGCTCAATTATTCTTCAGTGGCCTGTAAACAGATACGCAAAATCTAGCTCCTGAATTTACCCAGCATAAAACATTTGAATGGCTGGAGCTTTGCTCTGCTTTGAAAGGCAAATACAGGTTGTGTTTTGCTTTAAATATTCACTTAGTTTGCATGGCTGCCCTCTGCAAGGGTTTAACTATGTTGTGAGATGAATTTTAGCGTAAAACAGCAAAATAAAAATAAAAAACCCTTAAGGGTCTCTAGAGGTCCTAGTGATGGAACAGCCCACAGATATTCTTCTCGTCTTTTTTGTGCTACCAAAATATTTACTTAGTTATACAAAAAGACTACAAAATACGATATAAAGTCAGTTTAAGGACTCTTATATATATATGCATATAACATTTCCTGCCAAATAATTAACCATGTTATGGAGCTGGAGTAAATTTGCATCACTCTGTATTGCATCGAAAGCAATCATAGCACAATAAAACCTTTAATTTAAGGGTGCATGGACCATCAAATGGATAACAGCTTCCCTGTGTAATCCTCCAAATAAATCAGTTTCTTTTATTGTCTGAAAAAGCGATCTTATGTTGATTAATAAGCAGGACATTTCGTTCTAAAACGCTGAAGGAAAGCTCTACCTCAGCACATTGTTGCCCCACCTACTTAAACAGTTGAGATTTTATTCATGAGTTTTGATAACATCTTACAAACACTCGCAGAACAAAGAAAGCTAAGATGTTGGCTGGATGAAGAGAGGAAGAGTCAAATGGAAAAGCAGCAGAGAAAGACGGCGAGCTAGAGCGAGAGGAAGTGGATGGCATAATCATCTTTGTTGGAGTTTAATGAGGCAGCTCTGCCTTCCAGGGTTTTATTGAAGCAGCTAGTCACATCGTTTGGAGCCATCTGTCCAGCTATTCAGCCTCGGCTCCTGATAGAATATTGGCACAGGTTTCCATAATACCTTGGTGAAGCAAAGCAGACCGATTTGTCCCCAGAATGGATTCTGTCAGGGAATCAGAGGACTGGGAATGAGAATGAAACAAGATAAGGGAGAGAGAAGATTAACTTTACTGCCCAGTGAGATAAATATCCAAGAAATATAATATAATTCAATTTAGGATAATGACCAAAAGACTAAAAAGTAATTTTTATTAACTTGGTTGACTGTAGGTAGATGTAATTTATCTTTAAATAATGAAAATGAATGAATTAGCACTAAATTCCAGGACTTATCTTTATTCACAGACGAGGTAAACATCTTAATTTTTCATAAAAATCTAAACTGACCTGAGCTGTATGAAACCTTTTCTGATATACTTTAACATACAGTGTTTGCGTTGTGTCTATGTTATTTTTTTCTTATTTCGTAAACCATTTCTTTAAAACAAACACACACAATATGATTAAAATCTGATTCTCCTCAGGAAATGGATACATTGAGGGAAAGGAGCTGGAGAACTTCTTCAGGGAGCTGGAGACGGCTCGGAGAGGAGCAGGAGTGGTGAGTTCAAGGACAACCATATCAGCATAGATCTGTGCTAAAAGAAAAAAATGTTTTAGTAATATAACTTGAAAAAAATTTTTTTAGGACCCAACAAACCCCACCTTCAGAGAAAGGATGAAGGAGTTCATGCAGAAGTTTGACAAGAACAAAGATGGGCGCATCGAGATGTCAGAGGTATCTATTTCATTTTACATCAGAAACTTACTTGCTTTTGCACAACAGTAGAATAAAAAAAAAATATTGCCATGTTATTCCTTTCTAAGGTAAAATAAGTACAAGTTTTAAGCTTGTCATAGACCACATAGACAGAAACAGTAAGCCTCTAACCGGGACCTTATTTCAGATTTATACGGTTCTGAGAATAAAAGAATCTTCTCCTATATTCTTTCTATTCTGTTCATTTTTTTCTTTTGCATGTTACTTATACAGTCATAGTCATCAAACACATTTCAATAGCAAACAAAAGAATCCCAGTAAATACAAAATGCTGTTTTCAAATTATTTACATTTCTCTAGCCACACTGAGGTCTGTCTACTGCCTGATCTGTAGACTCATGAAATCACTTATACGCTTAAGAAATGTAGGAAAAGATTGAAAATAAAGTCCTTAACATTAATCAGCCTGGGAATGGGTATTACAGAGCAATTTGTATGGGTTTGAGACATGTCTAAGTTGAGATGATACCAAGATGACTCCAAGACATTGATGACTCATCCCGGAGGTACCAAAAAGTAAAAAAAATAATAATAATTAAAAAATCAAGAAACTGCAGGCCTCCTTGAACTTCAGATTCTTAATCTGGGTTTTGAATGTATTACTGTTGACTTTTTACTTGAGGGTGTTTTTGCATACAGAGAAGGGTCAAAAAGGCATCAACAGCTCATCCAGAAGCTAACAAAACCCTGAATACCTAAAGTACTGCAAGTCTAACTTAATCTTAATTAAGGTTGTTATTTAAGATTCAATAATAAGAAAGAGGCAACTGATGGCATCGCAGGATGCTTCCAGCTCCAAATCCTCTGCTGACTAAACAGAAACAAAAGATTCCTCACACATTTCCTTAGAGACAACTTGATGACAACTGAAGACTTTTGAAAAATATTGTAGATTTTATTTTTTTATTTTTATTTTTTAATCTCTTAACATCATAAAATTTGACACAGCATTGCAGAAAATAAAAGAAACATCATATTGAAAATCAAACATGGTGGTTGTATGATGCTGCTTTGCCGCCTCTGAACCTGGAGATTCAGCTGATGGAACCTTTACCAGAAGAATCCAGTGAGGGCCCAGCCATCATTTTGTGAACTAAAACACCCTTGGATTAGGACAGTAATCTAAGCACACCAGCAAATCATCCTCTAAACTGATCTAAAAAAAACAACAACAACAAAATGAAGGTTTTGTAGTGGAAACAACAAATTGTGCACCTTAATTGAAATTATATGCTGTTTGACTTAATGAAACCAGTTCTTCACACTTCCACAGATATCATTGACATTTTTAACAAATGTCTCATAACTTTGTACAACAAATACATGTACTAAATTTTAGGAGTTATTTTATTTTTTCACACATGGGGAAGTTAGTTTAGATTATTAGATTTAGATTATTTTCCCCATAATCAGAAAATAAAACTTTGTATTTTAGGAAATCTACCAGAAGTGAACGCTAGTTCTGATCTTCAGAGAATAGACCTGAAAGTTGAAAAAAGGGGAAGACATGAATCTCTCAAACATCATCATAAATTAGCTTTAACAAAGTAGATCATTCATCAGAAAAATAAGTTGCAAGATGTTGACTTCCGTTGCAGAAAATATTTATTTGTTTTCTGTTTGTTTTGTTTTTCCTTTTTTTGTTATAGTTGGTAGCAAAGTTTTGCATAGCAATACATTTCCATAAAACCAACAGAAACCCATCAAGATAAACGGGGGAGAAACCTTTTTATGGGGGGATTATTGTGAGAAAACATCTGAACAGTAAAAGCCCTTATTTGGAGCTTTAAGAGCTTCTTGATGGTCTTCCTGCAGCATTAGCAGAAGATTACCTTGAATTTAGTGCTCTCAGATTTGGATTTAAAGAAATGTGAGAAAAGATTCTGCAATATGAATCAGGCATCTTTTGTTGAGAAAATTAATCAAATGTTCAATAAAATGGATAAAGATCCACAGTACAGTATTAAAGTGAACATTCTGAAGGAGGATCTTAATAAACATTCCCATAGAAGACATGGCCCAGCTTCTGAGGTTATGCTTCTTCATTATTTATGTCTTAGTTGCCCATTCATAGCTTTGCAAACATAAAGCTCCGCTTTCTCTATCTTTCTCCAAAGCCACCATCTTGTACTCACCACCACCATTTTACTGTCATTTTTTCCCCTCCAGTTGGCCCAGATTCTTCCTACCGAAGAGAACTTCTTGCTCTGCTTCAGACAGTTTGTCAGCTCCAGTGCCGAGTTCATGGCGGTAAGGGTGTTTTGATTTTTTCTGAATGGACATGCTAGTCATTTATTCATGCAAAACACCATGTCCCTATGCTCAGTTCATGCCAGACCTTATAAGCTCTTATGGAAATTTGAGAAAAGAGCCTCTTGCTCTCCAAAAATGAACATTTATAAGAGCAAGGTTACAACCAATCACACATTGTAGACTGGACTCAGCCAACTGTAGACGGATGAATGCTCTCATTCACATCTACAAGCTACTGTGATGAAATAATTCCCTCCAGATAGTTGATGGTGTTCCAATTAGCAACATGAAGTGGAGTAGTTTAAATTAAAAGACACAGACTGTTGCCTTCAATCTCACGTGACTGCACTTGTCATAAAGCTGGATGTTAATTTTTAATGATCTAAATTGTGCTTCGAGTCAGGTGAGTGGAGATTTATCACAAATAGAAACTTGGAAAAAAGACAGAGCACAAATAAATGGAAGACAAGATAAATAATAAAGTTGTGTCTCTAAAACTGTGATAAACGTAGCAGTTATGCTACCTTGGCTCACTATAAGGTTACTTCTGTACTTTTATGGTACACTAGGAGTTACACTCTGTACATGGTTCCTAATCTTTTTAATGCAATCCTAAGAAATCTGTCATTGGGTAATGGTCGTGATTTTAAAATTTTTGCAATCAGCAACTGAGACTTTAACATTTTATATAATCCTTATTAAGAACATTCGCCTATCAGGATATTTATGTAAGACCAATAAACGGACATAAGAGGACTTTCACATGCTTTTTTCCAGGGTTTTGTTTTACAGGTAGATCTGAGGTATCTGCAGATTCCCAATTTTCCATTGCCGAAGTTTCCCCTGGGAACAATTGGTGCCATGTCCATGTAAAAGGTTCACAGCATGCCCATTGTTATGTGTCCCAAACATTTAAAGTTAAAAGTAACATAGAACAATAAAAATATTGAACCAGCAAGACTGAAAGAACTTGCCGGGTCAAATAGAAGCAGCTCTGGTCTAACTTCAAATAATTTAGACGTTCTGGGCCAGCCAGTATTTGATGTTAGAAATGCTAACAAAACGGTTCTGTGATACACCTGCTTAGATGAGCCAAAGCCTTTTCATAAGTCAACCACTTAAGCTGGACTCATTCTGCCACTGTGTTCTTACATGAAAGAGGCAAGTAGAGTGGAGGCTGTGAGGGACAACAGTATCCATATCTAAAGACACACTCTTGCACCCTCATTCCTATTAGGCAACATGGCTCTGTCTACCTCACTCTGTGGCTTATGCTCAATCTTCCTCTTTGCCTTGTTCATTTGAGAATTGATGTTTAGCATAAGCTGTCACACCATGTGAGCATGATATTATGATAGATGTTGCCTTTTCAGGATGGAAATCACCAGGGGCTACACAGTAGACGTAGTTGTTCAATTATGCAGCAAAATATAGCTGTTAATAAGCTTATCATTAGATGAAGATACTAAGAATATGAAGAAAATAAGAAACGGTAGCCAGCACAGAAGTAGATGACCATCAGATGTTGGTTGCAGCTGGAGTCACACTGCAAGAATTCCCCTTAAGGTTTGAAACGCTGCTTCATATGTTTCACAATGTGCTTTGGTTTAAAGCAATAGTTGGTGCATCAGTCACACTGAATAACACAGATTTAAGGTCAGGACCAGAGATTTTTTTTTTACGACCTAGTAAGATTTTTCCTAAGATTCCCAATAATCCCCTTAGGGAGTGCCCAGTTCAATCCTTGGATCAGTATCTGAAGGTTTCAAAGTGTTCAAGGTATTTTAGCTGCTACAAAAACACACATCTTAGCCTAGATCAGGGGTCTTATTGTCAAATCCTACCAAAAACTACCAAACTAGCAGCAGTCAAGCTCTGCTAATGAGCTCAAATTAAAGTCAGGTGTGTTGAAGCAAAGACACATCTAAAGGTTGCAGGATAACAGCTGTCAAGGACTTGAGTTTGAGACCCAGGTCTCCTTTTTTTATTTTTATACATTTACAAACAGTTTAAACCAAAAAAATGCTGGCTTGGAAATCAATTCTATATGTAGTGAGACTGTGACCATGCTGCAGTTGCTGAAAAATTTGAATTGTAAATTATTTCTATTTAGTTAGTCAACTAATTATATGCAAAAGCCAACAGGAGAAGGGAGTGCGTCATTTCTTAGAAACTACTTTATGTAAAAATGTCCCCAGTTTGAGTGCTGCACTAAATTTTTCAATAAGAAACTACCAGTGGAGCAACATAAGGGGCTTCCAAGAAATTAACAGAATTTTTAAATTTCACGAAACACCTCCTCAGAACACAGTTGGATGAAATGGCAAATTTCATGTTAGATCTACCTGCATTGAAAGAACTGAGGCAATTAGAAACCAATTATGTGTGTGGGTCCTTGACTGCCATGTCCCATCAAGAGGAAATATTGAAGCAAAGGGAGGAAAATGGAGGAGAGGGAAGGTGTGGAGGAGAAAGATACAAAGGGCAAGCGAAAGTGAAAGCTGGAAAATAGGGTCCGTAAATGAAACGCTGATGGAAAGTTAAGGGGTTAGAGTTTTAGAACATCCTACTGGAGAGGAGGATTAATCAGTCTTTGTTGAGGGGAAGGGAGGAGGGGGAAGGGGCATAAAGGTTTTTAAAGGGTTAGAATGAGGAAGCAGAAACTTCTATTTTCAGGATCATATATAATAGATAACTCTACTGTAGCTCCTCTCTGCAGAGCTCAGAGGAGGAGCAGAGGAGGAGGAGGAGAAGAAGCCATCCATCTTTGATAAGGAGCCCCTCCTTGGACAAGGACAGCTGCTAGATTAAAACATTCATTAAAATGGCTTTCTCTTTCTCCCTCCTTTCCTCTCTTCGTGTTGCCCCATACTCTTTATGTGGGCGATAGGGGTTATATTGAAAACTGTTTGATTACAGTAATGGCCCGGAGTTTCCATATCATCCTCTGTGGTGATTTATGGCGTTTTGCACTACAGAAAAGTGGTGAAACAACGTGCAGAAGAAGGGGGGTTCTATCAGAGAGGATTTTTTTAAAAGAAAAAACATGTTAACACTTTAATAAATGTCTGTGCATCAAAGGTGGAAAAGAAAAACTGTCAACTAAAAATATTTTTATTTTCTCTCAGGCATGGAGGCGATATGACACAGATCGCAGCGGCTACATTGAAGCAAATGAACTGAAGGTAAATAGATAACTGTCAATTTGTTAACTATAAATGAAAAAAATAGCTGTTATTGTCAACCAATGACCTTAAAGTAGTTCTACACCTTTATTTATCTTCCTCCATCATTATACTTATACTCTATTTTTTTCTTTTCCCCTCCCCCCTTCATTCACTTTTGTTTTTATACCACCACATGCCAACAGGACCCTAAACTGTAATTGTTAGCGCTGATATTCATGATCGTTTCTGTTATTTTTACCGCCTGGTAACTTCAAATGTACTCATCACACTATAATACGTGTGCATGTATTTATGTATTCTTATGTTACAATCCTTATTTGCATGTTCTTGCATGTTGTTTGTACAAATAAAAGTAAACAAAAGAACGTGAAAGGAAATAGTCTGTAGAATTTCTTTGTCATTATCATTTTTCCATATGCATTTAAATATGATTGCATTGCTGCAAAAAAGAGACCACATATTGCTTACGTAATTACAAAATACAAAATTGGACTATAATTCAAAGAGTAATATAAACCATAGGTCTCAAAACAGCACATAAGATTTAATCCGACCCACAAGAGACAATATCCTTTCTTTGTACCCAGGTGTCCCACAGGAGCAGTTTTGTTCACTCATGGGTGGAAAATAAATACTCTTCCATGATTATACTTTTCCACTAACACTTATGGTTCTCTGCCTAACCTAGTTTCACATGTATGACTTGAGAGTGAATATACAGCATAATTCGTTAGATATGCTGGTTGAGAGTGCCATTTCAAAAAATTATGTAAGCTGTGGAGAGCTTACAGAATGGTAATTCCCCATATAAGTAGTTTATTTATGTTGGTTTATCTGTGATTTTGTGTTTCTGTACCCTTATTCTTGTATTTCAGATTGACTTGTTCTTCAATCTTCACAAAACAAAACTTTTCCTCAAATTCAAGGAGAATTTGCCCTATTTTGGTCGATAACTATTCATCTCCCAACCTGCTATAAAGAGAAAATTGTTATTCTAAAAAATATATATATATTATATAATATAATATGGGAGTCAACAGTTCTCCACTTCACTTAAAAAAAAAAAACAAAAAAAGAAACTTTAAACTTTGTAATAATTAATTTCTTGATAGGAAATTCAGAAATGTAAGAAGTGGTACTGCTTTTGTGACTTAAAACAGCTAAAAAAATTGAACTACCATAATATTCGGACTATAAGCCATGACTTTTTCCCCATTTTTCGACCTTGCGGCTTATATAGCAATGCGGCTTATCTATGGACTTTTATAGCTAACGGCCACTAGGGTAATACCTAAATCTATAGATTTTACCTTCCACCATATTGAAGTCCAATTTTGCTTCAACACACAAGTACGGTAGCCGCGCGTACGGGAATGCGGAGGTCCTCCGAAAGCAGACTTCTACCACGAGTGGTACGAGACAGAGAGAAAGACAGACATTGCGAGCGCAAGACAGTTTGTGTGTAAACATAAGAAACCTGTGGCTTATAGTCCGGTGCGGCTTGTATATGTACAAATCATGCAATTTAGCTTCTGCGGCTTATATTCAGGTGCGGCTTATAGTCCGAAAATTATGGTAATTTTTTAAATGGTGCCGTTGTTCTGTCACACCAGCATACTGTCATGATTTTATCTAAGGCTCGGACCCACATGCAGGGAAGCCAAACAGAGAGACACAGAATAAAAGTTCAATGGGTTTTATTGAAGAGATTTAAGCTCGGTGCAGAGTTTCTCTAGCCTGGGTGCCAGTCCGAACTTAGTCCCGCCCACAAGGTTTGAGTTCGGGGAAGTTCGGTCTGGCTCTGCTCCATAGTAGCGCGAGTATTAAAGCCCACTGTCAGGCGATCCAATCAAATTGTCAGGGCGGGCTTTATACGATGATGGACAGATGATCAACAGTAACGTAATCAACCACGTGACCAAAGCGCGCTTGGGTGACAACAATAATGGCTGCCGCTGGAGAGTTTGGGTGAGTAGATTCTGCTATTAGGTCTGTTCTAGAAGATATCGACAGCAAATTAATTTTAAAAGAGGAACAGAGAAACGCGATCAAGTCTCATCTTCTTATTCTAGGCGTGAAACTGCACGCTTTGATTTTTGTGGACAACAACTATGCCTCGCTTAAGATACGTCACGCACTCCGTTGCTCTTATTGGTTGTAGATCTATCCAATTGAGTACAGAGGCATTTTTTTCCTGGTTCGTTCAAAACACGCCCCATAATCACAGCTCTATGGAGCAGTATCAGACTCATATTCTGACTAGAATTGAGTCGGGCTACGTCAGGCTAGAGTTTCTCTGCTCAGCCGGAACTGGAAGGCGAGGGGAAGACAGACTTTTAGTTCAGGCTCAGTGGGAAATTTGACTCGTTGATCTTGAAGGAGAGGATCGGTTTGTTGACTCACGTTTCCAGAAAAGTGAAGGATCCTTGACTCCAATCTGTATGTAGGTTTTCCAGAGTTTGTCTGATTCGGTGGAGGGCGGAACAGGTTTTACCCAGAACTTGGACGGTGAAGATGGATGGAGACGCTGGTTGCCACTCAGATTTCCTGTCGTACTTAAACGGGTCGTGGTGAAGATGATTCCCTTGCTCAGAGAGTAATTTCAACAATCTCAAAGGAAACTGGATCCAAACCTCCTGTTTGAATGCAGGATGACTTCCTGCCGAAAGGCAAAGACAAAAAACAAAGTTAAATCTCAGAGAGACAAGCACTCAGTCTAACTCAGTGAGAACTCAGCTTGGCTAGAGTACCAAAAACTGGCAAACACTCTGGCGTCGAGGTTGTGGCAACCAGCACCTTAAGAGCACTCCGATAATGAGGTAAATGTCCGCAGGTGTGTGAGGAGGTGGACCGGAACCAGGCACCTCCTGCTGGTGGAAGGAAGAACAACACAAAAGACAAACACACAGACTGGAGTCCTGACACATACCCCATCAGACCAGCATACCCACAGTCAATACCTGTTTATGCCTTTAGTTTTACCCTTTAGTTTTGTACAAAAAGTATTATTCTGATATACTTTAAACTACCTCGACGGGCATGTGACCCTTTAGTCATGTACAAAAAAACTATTTAATTACTTACTTTTTGGCGTTTATTGAATCGTATGGCTATCTGACCTTAAATAGTTTTTAAGGTCAGGTCAGACGGTCAGTCTTTTGTGAATGGTTGGGGTTATTCATTGATTTCTCACTGTAGCGGCGAACATTTAGTTTAGTTTTACCTCCAGACCTTCTATTTAACTGCTGGCTGAGCGAGATCTTTAAGCCACATGGTAAAAAAAAATACGTCAGAAAAGATCTCCTACTGCACCTTTAATGCAGAATCAAATGGTATAAATGTTAGTCACTGTAAATGACTATGTTTTGGTAATTACTTTTTTTTTCTTACATATTTCAAAGACCCCAGTGTCACTTTTTTGAATTCATCAATTTCGGTTCCATCTGGTCAGGTTAGTTGCAATATGCATATTTTATCACTAGTTGTCATGACAACTGGTGTGTGCTCAGGAAGTTCTTTCTTTGATGGGAAACCAAAAAAAAACAAAAAACAGCAGCGATTACATTTTTCATTATTAGAGCAAAATTAGAAATCACTTAATGACTCAAAACAAGTAGATATTGGATTTATAATTTCTTTAACTAAACAATATGGAAAAGAGAAATGAGAACAAGAGTTTTTTTTTTTTTCTAAGAGACAACTGGTTAGACCCCGGAAATGACAATTTCATATAATCAGGGAAATGTTGAGACCTTCTGCTTGTAGAGTGCAAATAAGTAGTTCAAGGGCTCAGGGGGTGCTTATGATTGGCTGGTCCATTGTATGGTGGGGCGTTTATATATGCAAACGTCTCTCTACACACCATATGTCACAAAAAGAGAATTTCCAGTTCAGACCACTAGTGCTAGAAAATGTATATCAATAAAATGTAGTTGCTCTTTTACTATTTTTTTGTTTTTTTTCCCCCCATTTTCATTCAGGGTAAAAAATGAGAAATCGCATAGAGACCTCCCTTGCTATCCGATTTCCATTTTATTTAAAAAATCCAAAATACATGTGAGTTTTTCGTTTTCTTTTTATTCATTTTTGGTTTCAGACAAGAAAACAAACAACCTGAATGTAGACCGACCCAACATGTTACCCCTTTTCAAAAATCTTTGTATCAAGATATTGGAGTTAAACTGCTTGACTTTGATATACAAGGACGTGTGGCTATTATAACTATATTCAAGATAAGAAAAACTTCTTTAGAGCATGATGGAGGTAACCCACAGGGAATTTTTTCTACATTTATAATGATCTAAAGTACCTCAACAGACACTCACTACATTATAACAGCATTGTAACATTCTGGGGCTGATCTATTGAGTCTTAAAACCTTCTTGCCCCATCTTAACTCTTCCCCTCGTCGAGAGTATGATGAAGGATGAGTCTTCTAATCAAATCATATTTTCCACATCTCTTCAGACCAATGGCCATCGTATCTCCTCTTTGATCTATTAAGCATCCATTATCTTTAAACAGAGGAGTCCAACTACAATGTATCACTGCATATTATATCTTCTGTCTATAGTCAGTTATTTCTTAAAGCCATATATAAATCAAGAATATTTATAGCTAACCAAAATCAAATTAAAAACATTGAAAAAAATCATTCAGACCATATTAAACCCTCAACCCCAGGTAGAGAAAAAAAATCATAAAATATAACATTTAAAACATAAAATATGAGATTTTAATATTTACTCCTAAGAAAAATACAGTAAATTTTTGTTCCACATTTCAAACATACACAAAGATCATAGACATCAAATTTGTTCAGCCAACCAAAGTTTCTGACCTCGTTAACGCTGTGTCCCTATAGGTCTGAAAACACACATCATAGCAGGAATCTTTGTGTTTAAACTGCGGCCAACGGAAATTCCTGTGAGACTTTATTTCTTAATTTCCTCAACTAAACACAAGCTAAATATTTTTTCTCCTGTTCCTTAAAATCCAACTAATCATTTTAAAGGTTTGTTACTGACAATTTGAGCCCATGATTTAAATGAAGTGAGGAGAGTCACCTGGTTTACTCAGGAGAATTAAGTGGCATGCTCCAGAGGAAATTCCCTAATGACCACAGCTATTTTCCCCCCATCAGGTGTTGAAATGATGCAAAAAAGCCGTGCAGATTACACAAATGTTATTTACTTTTACACCTTTTTTTTTTTTTTTTTTACAACATTGGTTGAAATGTTATAAAAGGGTGCGCTATTCACTTGGGAGCTTTGCATTATTGGGGTCGACAACTGACGTGCAGATGCTGGATTCATGGGTTGTTTCCAGTGTCACATTCCTTCCAGATGACCAGGTGCAGATGAGTTACTCAGGTGTGGCTTTTTGAAAGCTGTGGAAATTTGCGGATGAGATGCCAGGCGCCAGACATGTGTCTCGCCGCGTAATTGAGAACAGCCATGGAAAATATTGAATCAAGTGGTACAAAACATTCAGTGTGGCTCTACACGGCTTGCTGCATTTGAAAAGACTATAATTTATAATTATATGTGGAGAGATTTTTAAATAAACAACACCAATATTATATCCAGTTTTTTTTGTTTTTTTATAATTTATTTCATAAATATTTCTTATGCTCCCTGCCTTTGTAGAGGGGTTTAAGCTTATCTTTTAGTTCTTATTTCTGTATGACAAAACGTTCATGTTTGAGATGCACTTTCATATCTCACACATTCTAAATCAAAATAATAATGAATTGATTTTTTTTTTATCTCGAGAATATGTTGAATAAGTTACAATATTTTTCTCTTTATCTGCCTCTTTTTATAGGGCTTTCTGTCAGACCTGCTGGAAAAGGCAAACAGACACTATGATGAACAGAAGCTGCAGGAGTACACGCAGACCATAGTAAGATCTTTTTCTCACAAAGAAACACAAAAATACCTTTCTATTTTTCAAAAAATGTAAAACTCTTTACTTTTCCTAACGTGGTAGTAATGTGTGGTATTTTGAGGAAACAGATTTATTAAAACCACTTTATTAGACCCTAAAATAATTAAATATTGAAAAAGTGCAGCTGTCAATCTTTTCCTTAATTTCATTTTAATCTGTGCCAAGATTAAAGGCACACCATGTAACTTTAGGCCACTAGGGGCACTAGACTAGTGAATCCCCTTATTTTGCTTCTACCAAGCATAGAAAACAATAACAACAATATCTGACTATATACTAGGAGCAAAGTGTTAACTTAACAGGCTCCTAATAAAGTTGAGAAAAGAGAACCGGTTTAACATTCGGCTTCTTCTTTCAGTCTGTGCCAGCAAACAAAATCTTATCCGAGTTCGACTCTAGTTTTTCCTTCCCATTCACGTGTTGTGTTGTTTAGCCTCCTTAGAAGGTTTGAAGTTTTTCCTTGCATCAGCCATGACCAGTAGTAGAGCAGATGGATAAATAGTAGAGCAAAATCCCTAGCTCCATGACTATATAAAAGCCTGCAGCCATAAAGCGATATATATTCTTCCAGGTCACGTGACCTGGCCAATGACAGTCCGTCATCTCCCAACTTACATAGTCGGTATTTCAAAAGGAAGCCCCACTTGCATAATTGATAGTGTCAAGCACTGTATATTGACCTGAGGAATCATTTTAAATAACTCCTTCAAAAATCAGTTTTCATCTTCGCTCTTCATTTAAGCCTGAGACTGACCTCTTTTGCAAATATGAGTGGGCAAAGTTTTCTGTCTTAAGATCCAAAAAGCTTGCACATACTGCAGAAACAAAAGATGGTTCTATGATTGTATAAACTGACTTAAAGGAGCTACATATAAAATGCACACTATATCTTTTTTAGTATAACAGTTGTCTTTCCACTTCAGAGTTATGAACTACTTTGAGCTTATCCAAAAACTCCAAAATTACACTGAAGTTTCTGGTTATAACATGACAAATGTCAAATAGTTTAAGGAGCCTTTTTTTTTTTTTTACTATGAAATCTGTGGTGTTGGTGGCAGTAGTGATGTGCAGCGAAGTAGCAGTGACCCATCATTTTCTGCAGGTTGTCTTCAGCCCAGATGCAGTAACATCTGCTTCCCAGGAACCCTGAAGCTGACCTGCTTTTAACAAGAAATCTCCTCAATGCTTATATAAACCTATTTTTCCTGTACAGTTGCTTTTAAATATTATATTAACTAATTATATGTCTGTTAATTTCTCACAACCTAGTGCAACCTAGTGTTACATGTTGCTGGCCAAGCTTTCATGAAAATACCAATTAAAAGTGGTGTTTTTTTTTCTTGTTGACACTTATCTAATGGTAAACAGTTTTAGAAAAAGCAAAGAAAGCAACTATTATAATAATTATAAGTACAAATAATGACCACTTTATGTATAATTATCAAAATGTGAAAATTAATTCATTTTTTAGTGCATTCCAGATCATTATGATTACTTATTTGTTTAGTCCTCAATCAGTAACCTCTATTTTGAATTGTTCAGATTTCTTTAAGCATCTGAAAGTCACAGTTTTACCCTAAAATCCCCTGGAAGTACAGTAAAGATAAACAAAATTCAAATATTCTAACAAGTGGACTGATAAACATTTTAAAATGCATTAGCACATCATATTTTGAATTAGAGTTTATGCTGTTTTAGTAGGGTGTTTTGTTTGTCGAATTATAACTTCAATTGATAGGACATATGCTTTTTTACTTTTAGAGCCATATTGTGGTATTTTGGTTAGAACATTGTTCTATGAAGTTTCCAAATTTTCAAAGATTTATTAGTATAATGTTTTCCCAAATTTCTCTTCTGCAAATTTTTAATTTCTGTTTTGTTTTGCAGCTCAGGATGTTTGATTTGAACGGAGATGGAAAGCTGGGGCTCTCAGAGATGGCAAGGTGATATTCAGTTTTACAAACTTTTATTCACAATATTAAGGGTTAAAACACATTTCCTCCTGATGTTCATTTACTGTCATAAGATTTGAATAATTTACCATCCCCTGTGTCCAATATTTAATTAATCCCTTTTTCCCCTACAGGCTCCTCCCTGTCCAGGAAAATTTCCTGCTTAAATTCCAGGTTTGAGAAGAAAAAAAAAGCATCTAAGCACAGCTTGCTACATTTATGACTTATTTTACAATAATGACACCACTCTCAAATTTCCAATTAATTACTTATCGTATGGAGAGCTAACATTTCCCGGATTAAGAAAAAATATGAAATTGCCCAATATTTGCATTTCATACCCATCCTTCCTAAAGCAGTTTTTCCTTCTTTAACGTTTGTGCATTTCAGAATATTTTACAGCTTGTACTAAAATAGACAAGTCATTTTAGGGATGAGATAATTTAACTAATCAGTAGTATTTTATAATCATTAAAAATTAGAAGAACCATTAAAGATAAAAATGAGGACCAAACATGTTTCACTTGTGGGTGCTTAAATACTCATCTTGGTACATTTTTAAGATTCAATTGATTAAAAATGATCTTACTGTGTTCCTATATATATACTGTAGAGGATTTTAATTACGAGACTAAAAGCAACAACCAATTGGTGGTAAAATAAATTTTTCAGATCTTTAAAAAGACGTAACTAACCCATTTTGGCAGCATTCAGCAACAATCAGTGAAGCCTTGAAAAGTCCACTTATTGCTCCACCTTAGAAGAGTCAGATGTGTTCTAGCAGACAACCAGAGATGGCAAAAGTACTCACTTTCCGTACTTGAGTAAAAGTACAGATACTTGTGTTAAAAAATACTCTGGTAAAAGTGGAAGTACTGATTAAACTTCTTTACTCAAGTAAAAGTAACAAAGTACAGGCTTGTAAATTTACTTAAAGTATAAAAGTAAAAGTAGAAACCACTTTTTTCATGCCGTTGCCTAGATTTTAAATGGATGTCTGCCAATAGGACTAGATCTCCGTTGTGTTCATTTTCAATCATCTCGTCGTCCATGCTACTATGCTAACGCCACCGCCACCAAGCTGCAATGATTTGCCGCCAATGAATACCGCCGAATCTGTCGATTCATCTTGTAGTGGTGCGTCAAATGCAACGTAGATTCCCATCCAGTTAGATTGAATTTGGTATTGATGACATGAAAAATAATAACGGTAACTCCATTGAAATGATTCAAAACTAAAGTAACGAGCCAATTTTTTAAAATGTAAGGAGTAGAAAGTACAGATATTTGTGTAAAAATGTAAGGAGTAGAAGTAAAAAGTTGCCATAAAAATAAGTAGTAAAGTAAAGTAAAAATATCAGAAAAATCTACTTGAGTACAGTAACGAAGTATTTGTACTTCGTTACTTCCCATCTCTGCAGACAACAGATATCTGCTAGTTAACAAGGCGCAATGCTGAAATCTAAAAGTACATTATGCTGAAAGTCCTCATTTTCTTTAGACCACTAAATAGGAGCCTTTAATGCCTGAGGATTCATAGACAATTTAAGTGACAATACAACTAAACCAAAAAGATATTGGTTTGGTTCCTTGATATTGATCTAGTACTTTTATGAATATATTAATGTTGTATATTTACATTCATTGTTTTTAAACATCTTACTGTTACAAAGTTGGGTCATCTATTATTTAAAAAAAAATTCTTATATAATTTACATGTGGTAATATTATATTATTAAAGTTAATTATTTAGCACTAAATTCTGGCAGTTTTCTCAAGTTGGTTGATGATACATTTTTGCATTGTTTTATCACAGGGAGTGAAGCTGACCTCTGAGCAGTTCAACTCCATCTTCAATTTCTATGATAAGGTAGGTGATGTTTATGTTCAAGTTAATCAACTTTATCAGTGGCGGGATGGTGTCATAAAAATACCATCCCGCCACTATCTCCTTGAACCCCAGTGGGCCTCAGCAGATGGCCGCTCACACTGAGCCTGGTTCTGCTGGAGGTTTCTTCCTTTTAAAAGGGAGTTTTTTCTCTCCACTGTCGCTACAAGCATGCTTGGTGTTAGGGATTGCATTTGAGTCAATGAGTTGATGCAATCAACTGGTTTTCATTAGATAGAAAACTTTGAATCAATTTGACTGTATGATCTTGTTGAACTGTACAGTGCCTTTAGATGACATGTTGTGAACTGGCGCTTTATAAATGAATGGAATTGAATTAAATATGACATTTTTGGCTTATGACAATGTCAACTATCACTAATCTACGTTTTCCTTCCTTTTTACTTATTTCTCTTTACTTTTACCTTTTTTCTTTCTTTTCTTCCACTTTTCCACCAAGCAGTGAGCTTTACCATATTAGCCAATCAATATAAACATCAAGTTAAAGTCAAGCTAACTGTCCGAATATGTCACTGTTATGTAGAACCTACATATGTAACACAACAACCAAATATTGCTAATGAACATGTCCCTTCTGACTCGCATATTGCCATCCTGATATTGGGAAGAGGACATTGATTCAATTTTTATTTCAGAGCTCTCTTTATCCATGTCCAAAATTAGTATGGTGTTCTTCCATCCATTTCTTATTAGGGACATTTGGTTCAATTTGATAATAAAAAATGGCTTAAACTTATTAACTTTTTTAATTTTTGCATTCTGGGTTTATTATAAGGTGTGAAACTGACCTCTGAGCAGTTCAAATCCATCTTTAATTTCCATGATAAAAGGAAATTTAGAAATAGCTTTATTCCACTCATTTCTTATTAGGGAAATTTAGGTCTATTAGGTAATAAAAAGGCTTCAATGTAGGAATTGTATTTCTGTATTACTTTTTTAGGCCTTAGAAAGTCTTTAAGTTTTATTTCCATATGAAAGTAAAACAGTTAACTCGGGATTTTACATTTTTGTTCATGAATTTCGTTTTCCCATTATATATTTATTTCTGTTTAAGGGAAAAGGTTTAATTTTTTCCCTAACACTATCAGTTCCTTTATGGTAGAAAACTTTGAATAACAGAGGGTTTAATATGCAAACAGGAAATGTATTTCTTTACCAAAGTCTGTCGTGCATAGAATTGAAGGTAAAAACTCAGAGGGTCCATATTGCCTGTACATTTTTCACATTTATATTAACAGGAAAATGGCATCTGTGTGGAATTTGACACTGACTATACCTTCCAGTATTGTTCCTTTTTGAAGCCAAAATGCTTCTGTAATTTTCAATGGCCTAAAATGTGAAGCAAAGGAGACTTAAAAATGTCCCAAAACACTTTCCTTACATCTGCAGTGTCAGATGGTGTGGGTGTAACGTTCTGCTTATTCTCAGAGTAAATTATATCTAAAGTGATGCTGAAAAGAACAACTTAACTCGTGCTATTCATTATGTATAAAAATAAGTTATCTATAACTGAACTCCCATTAACATTTGACATAAAACAGTGCAGTTGATCTTGGTTGTATGGGAATATATCTCTGTTTCTCTCTAAGAAAAAACTCCTCATTGAAAGTTTGAATAATCCAGCCTGAGTAAAAATGTCTTGGTGACTCTTCTCTACTTGTTCCAAGGCTGATATTTGTTAAAATAATGAACATGAAAATTTCTTGTTTAAGGTCTCTAAGTCTACCTAGGGAAATGAGGAAGGGTAGGTGCACCTGTTCTTCTGTAAACAGCTCACGGTTATTCAGCTGTGGTTACTTATTTTCCAAAACAAAGGTAAATCTGTAGGGAGGGACGGCGGCAAAGGATGTTGTGCAAGCCAGAGGAAGTGGAGCTGTAAAATACATCGGCTAAATCATTTTTATCGTTTATAGTGTGTTATGAGCTATGTGAAGGTAGGGATATGCTATAATAGATTGTAGAAATGCTGAGTCAGGATTTGGAGAAATAAAGAATCCAATTTAATGTGACACAACAATGGTTTTGACTTGGCTCCATTCTGAGCTGATGTAAATGTTTTCCATATTCCTTATAGGTGCTATAAAAACTGGGACCTCAGACATATTTTAGCATTTCTAGCACATCGATTTAACATAATAATGAAACCTTTAACGGTTCCCTATAAGAACAAATAATTTACTTTAGTTATGCTGAGTCAAATTCCAGGAGGAGACCTACAAAATACAACTTAGAATTGCCTTAAAAACACAATACTTCCAAAAATATGTAGCTGCGTTACAGTTTATTAGCTTTCACAACAGAAAATGCAAGAAAAAAAAACAATTTTGAAAACATAACAGTAACAAACACTTAGATGTGACGCTATGGTAGAAACCACTGCTGGTTTATACAAACCATACCAATAAAATCAGAAATATAGATATGCAGAAAAGCAATAAACAATAACAATATATATTATTCCAGACATATCATCAATATCAATGGGAAATATGTCAAATAAAATGATCTGCTGCATAATTTCACTGAACTCTCATCCAAACCCGCAACGTGTTCTTAGGGATGTAGGCAAAGGGAATGATTTAGCCTCTTACCCTCCCACAGCCAAGCTAAGCAAGGCTGGTGGTAGGGCTGAATTTTTTTCTAAAGGTTACTTCTAAATAGGTTAAGGGTTACAATTTAACTTAAAAGCCTTTTCCCCCTTTTTCTTATTTCAAAATAGGTAAAGCAAAAAACAAAACAATAATGATCAAAATCAACTGATACAAAAGATTATACTGACATGTCATACAGAATATTACAAATACATAACTATAAAGTGGAGATTAATTATATAATTAAGTACTAAAATAAACTGAAGACAATCCAGCACATTATTCTATTATAGTCTTTTATGGTAATTTTTCTGAATGCAGACAATGATAAAAAAAAAGAGTTCTGTAAGATATGAAAACATGTTCCAGAGAACAACCTCTGGATATATTTCACAGAAAACTGTTACATTTTCAACATTGAAAGATGGAGATTCCGAAACTGTCTAGCTGAGTAATTATAAAATAAAGAATTGTTTAAAAAAAACATTAAAGACAAATCTATTGTCATTTATCTTACTTTTTATATACAAGTGCGAGTTGAGGAAATATTGATCTAAATGTTTATTTCGTAACTTCAGTTTGGAAAATAAAGGAACACCAAGTGTTTCTGTTCTTGAATAATTTGCCAATCTAAGAAATTGTTTCTTAAGGAGGATTTTATTAAAATATGTCCAACATTTATGAGTCCAAACTATGTTAGATAAGGATAAATGAGACTTTAATTATAAGATGAAAAAGTAGAGTTGTTTAATTTTTTTCTGAGAATACCAAGAGATTTATTGTTTCCTGTTGCAGAGAACACCAACTATTTCCCTTTAACATAACTTGGCAACGATTAAATCCCCTTATAACAAGTTAATGAGAGGTTGTTCCGTTTTTCATTGTCAGTATAAGCAATTAATTCCTTCCATATTGCTTTTTTTCTTGCTAGTAAATAGAATGAAGTTAGATTTAATTAATATTTAATGATAGCGTATTAGTCTGGAACAATCTAAAGTTACAAAACAACATACATCTTGATATTCTATCCTATGACATAAAATTACTCACCTAAAAAGTCCAACCATGACAAAGTAAGTGCATCTTAAAAAAATAATAATAATATAATACATTTAATTTGAAAATATTGAGTCATCTTGTTTAGCCTATTTGTTGCATGTTTGCCAAACAATACACAACATGAGACTGGTGTCACAGCCTCCACTTCCAACTGAATTTAAATGTTCTTGCTGTATTAGTACAGTAGAAACAAAAGGCAATTTAGGAGTTATAACAGTTTCCATGTGCCATCTTGTCGCCTCTTTAACCCTTACAGATACTGAATGTTTTCTGAGATGCTAAACAGTAAAAAAGTCTTAAACATTTGTTTACATGTTCCAGACCAAATCACTGTGTTTACAAAGGTAAACAATGAGTGTTGATTAATGATTACCTTTCATCTTCAGTAAATCTACGCTTAGTTGTTCCATATGTTGTGAAAATATTTTGTTGCTCATGGTAATGAAGGAAATGTAAGGAAGCATAAACCATGTGGTGCAGTGTCCATGTTTGTTAGGGATGTTGTCAAATAATGAACCATGTACTCTTCTTTATTTGCAAAGGACACATTGGACCTGAATGCTCAGTTGAGAATGGAGCATTAACATTTATGTTAGTTTGTTCATTTTGTTCTCAGTGCATCGCCTGCAGAGGTGATGCAGGCAGCTGGTGCTGGGAATGTGGCCTATCAGCTGGACACCAATGTGTATTAGGTTGCCACATCCTTCAACTGTGCAGAGACTTCAAATTCCAACATGGCCTGCAGCTTAGACAGGCGGCGGATATCTAATGTGACTGCTTTCTCATAACTCTGCAGAGTGCCAAGGCTTTTATCCTTAAAGTGGGAAATAAATAGAATTCACATTATATTCCTTGGATCTGGTGCACTTTATACTGGCTTTGTTAGCATCAAAGAGCATCTCTTTTAAAAGGACTGGCAGATTTCACCGATCTGAAGTCATCTTGAGTCTGAGCCCAGTTGAACAGATCGCGGTCCGATGCTGTTTGCCAAAAGCAGATTTCCAGAAACACAGACTTATCTTCTGGCCCAAAACCCTATAAACACCACTGTGAGACATAACTCATTAATTAGCAGTGAGACTCATTATTGGCTTTACAGCTAACCCTCTGTGTTGTGAATGGAAAGGCTTTTTTAAGTTTCCTGCTGGTACATTCATAAATTTGCCATAAAATCCTGAATGCTGCTGAGCAGCAGGTCTAGATAAACAAACAAAACAGAGTCAAAAAGGACAATAAATACAAGAGTAAAAAATACCTTATTTCTTCAAAAGCTTTATATGTGTTTAGACTGTCAGCCAACAAGATTGTTACAATACATCCTGCATATAAAAAATCAAACTGGTATCTTGAAATTTCTGTGAAATTTAAGTCAAAGGCATGAATAAGGTTTGTTGTAATATAACTCTACTGCTCTTCCTGGGACAAACAAAAAGGGTTTTGGAGGTGGCACGATTAAAAAAAAAATTGTTGGAATAGTATGTATATGAGGGATAGTTTAAATAAAAAATTAATAACTACCACAACAAAATCAATTGATATTTACATCAGATATTAAAGGTTTATTAGAGATTAGATAATTTTTTTTGAAAAATTTAATTTTATCATGCCAATAAAGTATTTAATTTTTGCTGCGCTGAAGCCCTTCATAAATCCTGTAGTTCCATGAACACACCATAACATCTGATTGGTTGAGGTCTTTTACAGCAGACTAATCCCCACATCTATAACAGTTTTAGCTCCACCTACTTTGAGATCAGAGGAATTCTCTATGTGCAGCAAAACATGACTGGGAAACAAATTTGAGATGTATTGATATATATGTATACCGTTTTTACTAATGATTACCGCATTTAAAGCTACAGTGTGTAATAATTACAGGGATATACAGTCAGAAATGTAATATATTATACAAAACTATGTTATTTATCATCATCTACGAGCTCAGCCTCTTAACCTTAATATTTGCGTTGCCTTAGAATTCGTTATTTATAATTACATAGGAGCGGGTCTCGCAGCCATGGAGGCAGACATCTTTGCGCTACGGCAGCGCAGAGCCAACAAACTAGCGATTGCGAGATCACCAAAATGTCACAAGGATGTAGAAAAAATAACAGGTATATTTATTATCTTAAGTCTACATGAAATCTATACCCTACACAGACTAATGAAATACTATCTGTAAAATTATCTATGTAAACAAACCTCATCACTTGAGAAGGTAGGTGATGCGGACGTCGTGGAAGACATTTTGTCCTGTAACGCTCGCCGTACTGTTGGGGGGGAGAAGCGGTGGAGGGGAGATGTTCATGTTGCTGCAGTCTGACCGCTAGATGTCGCTAAAAGTTACACACTGTAGCTTTAATGATTTGTTATTAATTTTTTCGTTTGAGGGGAACAAATTTGCAGATCAAAATCTTTTGAAGTGTACAGAAAAAAGAATCCAGGAACATAAACAGAATCATGTTTTTATTTTCTCTGGTGGTAGTTTCATTCTTTTATCATCATAAACATTAAATAAGAATTACACACACAAATTAATTTTGACCACAAAAATCTTGCCTCAGTGTAAAATCATATAACCATTTGTTAAAGTATTATTTTTGTTACTAATTGCTGGTTTCTTATTAGAAAACAAGGTTTACCAAACCATGAGCATCTTTTTATGTTAAAAGAAGCAGAACCGATACAATTAACACAAGTTTATAATTTATTTTGACCTTCATCCGCTGTGATCATTTTTATGTTTTTACACATTTCATGGTTACAAAGAATCGTCAGGGTTTCAGAAAGTAGTATGTGTGAGGATGCAGTGCAATTCATTGTAGCCAAACAAGCAGGAGTAGAGTCATTTCAATGCTGTGGCTCCTTGGTGGGCAATGAAGTTTATTATTTAGAAATAATTAGCTTTCTCTTCTTGCCAACGAACAAACGAAGATAGGCATTTAGCTGCACCCTGCCTAAATAGGATTAAGCTGATATATAAAAATGGAAAACAATGAGTAGGAATAAGCATATGCTTTGATACATGTATTTTTCTTCATTTCTTTGTGTTTCAAGTACAAAAAGAACTAAATGTGTTTTTTACTTTGATTCCCACCCAGGATGGGAATGGCTACATTGATGAGCAGGAGTTGGAGGCTCTCCTACGGGACCTTTACCAAACCAAGAAGGTAAGAGATGGATAGAGATAGATTGGGCGTCTTGCCTGCTGCTGGGGGGTTTACAGTAGGTATATATTATTATCTATATCTGCACAGCTCTGTTGTCCATGCAAGCTCCAGCATTAGGTAAGACCTTTGGGTCATAATAGCATTTCTCTGCCGTCATTTTTCTTCCTAATGAACTTAAGGCTATTTTAAAGACATTACCTCTTGCAGAAAAACTGAACATGCTGCATGTGATTTATATGTTTGATGGCTCGGTGTTGCGGAAGCTCAGATCAAAAGCTTTACTGTAAGAAATCCAACCCTATTACCTGCTTATTATCTGAGTCCATAATGTGTAAAAAGAGCCAAACAGAACATTAACAGTCCTTAATATTAATTAGAACATGTAGGATGCTGTAACTACAGAAAAATGCTAAATATATAGTTAGCATTCAGAGTTGTGAGCATTGCAGCAGGTGATTACCAGCTGTTTTCCCCATACATGTGGGGATTTTCTCTGGGTACTCTGAATGTTAATCGAAAAGGAAAATGTGTGTTAGGTTAACTAAATACTCTAAACTAACCTTGAGTCTGAGCAGCCTATGAGATAACTTAAAGAGAAGGTGGTCATCCATCAACAACAAACCAGTAAAACCAGTCGAATAATTTGAGCAGTTCCTCTTCTCTGTACTAAGAGGATTCATCCGAGCGGATCAGGCATCTCATGTTGAACCTTCAAGGACCTTTTCCAGTCATGTCGCATTGGGAGGAGAACTCAGAGCAAACCCACAGTTTGCTTGACAGGCAGTATATTCCTTCTTTTACAGGACGAGCCCAGGATTGGTTTATACAAAGCGTTTTTGTGGAAATTTGTGTAAATAATAATATCCATGACTATAAAGAGTATGCTTCAAATACTTCCAATACTGTACAAGTATAACCAGTAACTGTACAGCAGCATTTTAAACTGTTTGTTCAATCAGGATTTGTTTAAACTTTTAAATACTATATCACATCTTTCCCATTTATTTATCAGAAGTCCTTGTAGTAGGTATCAGCCTTGGGGGCCGCATTTCTTGATTTGTATCCAATGTTACAAGATTCAAATGTTTAAGGATGCATCCTGATTTACATGAATATACAGTAGATAATAAGACGATTTAGATGTGATCGGACCTTAATGTTCAATTAAGAGCTTTTGATGTCAAAATAGATTTAAAAATAATTTTTCAAAGTGGAGAGGTTTGAACAGGCATATCATTAGAAATAAACAGATTTTTTTTCTTTTATTGTTGTCACATACTGGCATGTGTCATTTAATACATTACATATCTTTTTTTGTAGGATACCAAGAGACTGTGTTGATTAAGTGTTCGGAAAAGGAAAAAACATCCACATTTGGAAAGCTAGATCATTTATTTTCATTTACAAGTTAAATTTCTGACCCTACTAATCTGGAAAATAATTTAGCTGATAAGATCCCAATTTTTGGGAATTTCCAGCACGTTTATTTATAAAATGTTAGTTTTCAATGGTTAGTTAATTCTTTTTTGCAAAATATTTTGCAAAGAGATGCCCCTGATTTGCTTGTTTTTCTGCTGAGTTTGAGCAAATTAAAGCTGATGACAGAGTAAAAGATTTTTTTTTTTTAATAGAATCCAAAAAAGGGCAGAAAGGAAAAAACCTAGAAATTACATTATTCTAAAATTAGCTTCACATTTTGTTTTGTTTTTTTTGTTTTTTCAGGAATTGAGTTGTAGTTCAGATTTTGCGAGTTGATCAACTCAAAGTGTCCAGCCTTATTCTTTTTTTTTTTTTTTTTTTTTATCTTAGACAATTATTTTTATTTGTTTTTGTTTTCTTACTATGTGTAAGGTTAGCTCCACAACAGTTACACTATAAACCTGAAATCAGTCCAAAATTCTCCACATATAACAATCTCTCCCTTCTCTGTCCACAGGATGTGGATGTGAATAATCTGATGGGCTACAAGGAGAGCATCATGAGCCTGTCCGACGGCGGGAAGCTCTACCGCGGGGAGCTTGAAATTGTCCTCTGCAGAGAACCAATTGTGTGACTACTTCCTGCTCTTTTTAAGCATTTGTTTTTTTCTCTGCCTGCCTTGTCCTTTCTCTTCTGAGACCTCACCCATTCCCAGCTGAGTGGCAACATATGGTGCATGTGCCAGACACTTCCCTACCCCCTTCATTTCCCCCAAATATTCTTATTCTGTAAAAGATGGAATGATAAGTGCACTGTCAGCACAAGATAACTACTTCTTTAAAGTCATGATTTGTGAAAATTGACCTCTCAGTGCTAACCATCTATTTGTTTACTATCAGCTTGTCCTAATTTAGCACCTCTTACTTCATCCCTGTCCATGCTGTGCCTGAGATGCAAAAATTAGACTCCACAGAATTTATAAACCCTTATCTCTGACCCAAGTTAATTGTCCAATTTGTTCCTTTGCTCTGTCAGTTTGCATTATATACTGTAAGCAAACATGCAGACAGATTTGGTTTTGTTGTTTGCATTTAAAGTCTCTCCTGAAATTCTAAATATTTTCCTTCTCCTGCAACCATTATAAAAGGTGTGTAGCTTTTCCCATGATACGATTTTCATTTTCAATGTTTGTTTTTGGCTAATGCTATTGACAGAAAATATCAATAAAGTATCTTAAGATAAAAGTGTCTTTTTAGTTGTATTACTGCGAGGTAATAATTGCACAAGCTTCATCACTGAACACAATACAAGCCTCCAGAATGGATACAGAACCCTCTACAGTTATTAGCACCAATATGTTGAATAAAAACAACTAAAAGGTTAGAATAACTAAACTCTCACTGAAATGTTTGGAAAGATTGATCCTTTAATTGAAAAAGCAAAAGCTGTTAACCATTGCGTATCTCTGAAACCTCAAGATTGACTGTTCCCGTTTATCTTAAACTACATTATCACTAGAAATTAAGGTAATTAAAAAAAAAATAGATTAGGAATAACCAAAGCAATGCAGAAGAAGAGAAATGCCCAGAGTGTTTTGGCATTTGCATTATGTTCAATTATGAAGAGTCAATGCTTCTCAAATAAACAACGCTGGGCGACAGGCCTTGAAGCATTGGCCATTGTCCAGATATTTTCAGATATTGCTGACATTTAAGCGAGTTAAAACATAGAATTGTAAGTGCAACTGACGCCACCGGTTTGCACTGCCATTAATCTCCTATTATTATTTTTTTTCTTATGAACATAAATGCACAGTTATATTATTAATGAGGGGTATGCAGATTTCTTTCACTTTTTAACTAATTTCAAGCAGTTCATAAAGGTTTTTTTTTAAGGATTAAGTCTAAATATCCTGGGGAAACTTTTCTTATAGTAGCACTAACCTCTCTTGTTGAATGTAGAGATGACATAGCAGATTTTTTTCCTTGTGGTCTCTGTTTGATTTAAAAAAAAAACATGCCACATGAAAACTAATCAAAATACAGGAAATCCTTCACGATATGGGGAAAATGCTGTGCAGCCTAACTATCTGATCTGTTCCCTCTGTCAGAACAGAGCAGGGTGCTCCTTCTCTGCACAGGAGGAAGCAGCTTCTCATTAACTGCACAGGCAAAATACTTCAATGCTAAATTAAAGTTAGACTTGACAGATTTTATTTGTCTTTTTGCTAAAACAAGTGTAAAACATAACGAAATTTAGTTTGGAACAGCTCTCTGGACAATTTCATCTTTTTTAAAAGTGCTGTCTTGAAAAATAGTTTAAAAAATAAATATATATATAACATATGACTTTACAGTCATATGTTTATATTACTGTTTTTATATATTTATTTAAAGTGCTAACATTTATATATATATATATATATATATATAAAATGATAGAATGCATTCAGGGTGAGAAGTAAAAAAATAAGCACTGATGCTGCACCCTCCTGTTAATGCTGCCCTGGACAACTGCCCATGTTCCCAGCTTCCGCTGGTAGAGTTAAAGTGGTGTAGGCAGACAAGATGAGAGAAACTTATTTTATGCATGAGCATTTTCTGATTTTTAAAGCTTTCCCATTAGGAACATGTTTTTTTTTAGCCTGGCTAACCAATAAACCCTTTAAAATTTGTTGGGATCAGAGGGAATTCATGTTCATTTGTTCCGTTTAAAGGTTTGAAATTTCTCATTTTGAGTAGAGACAAACACCAAGAAACCACATAATTCAACCAAACATGTAGAGTCTATTTCTAAGAGCATTGTTTTGTATTACGCATATCTGACATTGAGTTTTGAAGTGAAGAGGCAGGGGCTCTATAACTACCCCTGGAAGCCGGAACTCATCACACTTTCTTTAGGACATCGTCCTTCGACCCAATGGTCGTTTCGGCAGCTTCTATTCTATATAGCTTCTATATCTTTTTGGTCTTAATCCATAGCTAAATAAAAAAAAATAAGCCCTGTATTTTTCAATTTGTCTGAAAGATGGTATTTTGAAACCTCTTTATAATATTATCTGAAATAAAATAAAAAAAAAAGCCATGGTGAGTGTCTTACATGACTGACACTGACAAACGTAAATGTTTGGGCTTATTTCCAGCGGTGCCTTTTGAAGGCTTCAAGATGTCCGATTGAAGTGTGGATGGGAGGTTTCCATGCAGCTGAGCAGAGTCGTTCCTCTGGAAATTGTAGGAAAAGACATGATATTTCTAGTAAAATCCTTGTAATTGAGTTGACATGCTTTTAAGGCACCCTGAATAATACAGCAAGCACACAAACTCCCATCTCACAGAGGGGCTGCTGCAGATCAATTAATCAGTAGCATTTAAATCTTTATGTGACTCACAGTTGCACAGAAAAACAGCATAGATATAAAGCCTCTGATAAGATACATCCTTTTTAGTTAAATGAAAGGGAACTTGTAAACCTTTAAAGTTCTGGGATAGTTTCTGTTGAAGATGCTATCTCTTCTTAACATGTATCTTAACATACCCAGCTGTGATATTCAAACCTGAATTTGAATGAACCAGGAGAATTCTGCAATGTTGTTCGTAATGTTTAGACGTGAATAGAGTAATTAGGCCACAATGTACAGAACCATTTACAGTTTAATAAGCACAGTGGTGGAAGGAGGTTAATCTGCACTTTTTAAGCTATAAGCTTTTAGCATCTTGCAGTCATTAGGTCACACATTAACACTATTATACATTAATGTAGTCTAGCACTAAATCTCTGCCCATGAGGCGAAGCTAAACTCAAGCAAGGTCCTCAAGAAGACATTCCAAGAATTTCCTGGCCTATAGTATCCTGGTTTATCACTAAAGCTGGTGCCTTTAGATGGATGGTAAAACAAAATGCTTTAAAAAGAAACCGAAAATAAGACCTCAACCTTACTGAAGTATGACAGGGAAACCATAAGAGAGCAATTCTGAGACATTTGACTACAAATCTCAATGAACAGAGGCAATGTTGTAAAGGGGGGGCTAATTCACCTATCAGCAATACAACATGCTCACATTCATCCCATTAAAGGAGGTTCTACTTACTGTTGGATCATGTTTGGGTCATCTTTTTTAGTAGGCAGTGAATTCTATCAGGTTTTATTTGATATATACATTTTTGACTGCTAAAAACTGATTGTATTTCCCAACATAATTAGAAAAAAGTGCATCAGTTTTTCTTCTGATGATTACTAGTTCAAGAAGAAAGAATGTCCTACTTAGAATATCTGGAAAAAATGTAATCAGAACCAAATAGAACAAGTGGTAATCTTCTCGGTTTCAATATACGGCCCAAAGGCAGCATGATCCATATGAAACTACTGACTCAGTCTTTCTGTCAAAGTCAGGAGTTTAATAACCATTTGCTCTAAAAATGACAGAAATTACATTTTTAGAAATGTAATATCTAGCAAAGGAAAGACAACTAGGGAAGTGAGTGCTTCAAAGAATTGGTGCACTGCTGTTTAAATTGTTTCCTAAAGCAACTTACCATTAAAAAATAAATGTATTACTTTCTATTCTTTAGTTCTGTTAAATTTGTTAAGATTTGCTCTGTTCTTCTTAAGGGACGCCTTAAGAATGAATGTGAACCTACAGGAAGGGTTTAAACTGAAAGGAGCACAGAAGGGGAAATGCTTCTACAATCCCTGGATCGATGCTCGCTAAGCGCTCCCTTCTGCTGCCATCTGGGAGAAGAATTAGGACAAACTCTCACAAGCGTAGGATAATCTACGTTCTGGGGCCAAAAAATGTGCTCATGATAAATATTACAAAGCAACACTGCATGTCTACCTTCACAGAAAAAAATAAGATCACCCCTGCTTTTTCTTCAGTTTCAGTTTTTATGCACCTTTAATCTGGAACAAATTCTCAGAAAACTACAAAACAGCTGAAACCCTAAATTCCTTTCAATCAAGGCTGAAGAGCCACCTGTTTAGAGCTGCCTTTGATTAGTTGTCTGTAAAAGGATCTAGGTGAAAAGCTGCTCCAAGCAAAACATTTCATTACACATAGACCATCTCCCTACTTGTACCTGATTGATGATTTGTATGATTTTGTATGATGACTGTTTGTTTTGATTATTTTCGATGATTATGTTTTGATGTGTACTTGATTGATGATTTTAATGGTTTTACTGCAGATTTATTCTGATGTCTTTATGATGTAAATCACTTTAAATTGCCTTGCCGCTGAAATGTGCTATACAAATACTTTTTAAATTATTTGTGTAAATCAAGTAAGTAAAAAAAAATCCATGATGATTTAAAATGTGCAGACTCTGTCAAAGTATTTCTCGTTTCGTGTGCAACTTTCCAACATTTCTGAGCAGGGTGAAACATTGGGGCTAAATACAAACTCCCAACATACTTCTCTATTTGAAAAACAGTTATCAAAACCCAACATTTCCAATTCACTTGATAACTCTGCACTGCTTGATGTTGGTAAAGGTTAGAAGTGCTTGTTTTCTTAGTGCTCTGCATTTCTCAGTACATTGCACATGACCTCAGTCCTCTGCAGAAATGATGCTGTGCTTCAGTCACTCTGCTTCTGTCAGCAGGTTTTAAATTGTGATGCTCTATAATAGATGGATGCCTTTACTGACATAAAATTTTCCTAAAACAGATTATCACAAATTATATCTTAATATGTTATTCTCTTATAAATGCTCTAAGGAAATGTATCCTTTTCTTTAGCCCTGTATTTTTTATTTATTTATTTTAATTTTTCTTCTTGCAAGTCATTCTCTGTTATTTATTGATTTGCATATTTCTTATTCTGGAAAACAAAACGCCCCTCGGGATAATAACCAACATCAAAACATGCCTCAAGTTTATGCTTCAATATAAAATTAAGATGGCATTTATTCATATAACAGAAAAAAAAGCACTGTGTGATTGAATGGCTAACCAATACGATCAATCATCTATCCAGTTGCAGTAAACTGTTGTGATACCAGCTGCAGGCAGCTGGATACTCTGTGCTAAGAAGAAAGAATGAAAAGAATGTGAACATAAGAGGG